GTAGGTTTCAAACCTACACAGTTCAAGAGAAACAGATTTTGACTCTGGTGACAACTCAACTAAGACCAATGAAGATCAATGTTTGAGATGCTGTCTATGAGCAGATATTCAAGACATGTTCTGTTACAAAAATGCATCACTTGACAGGTTTCAAACCTGTAGACTTCAATGGAAACAGATTTTGAATCTATTGTGGCAATGACATGGCTGACATCAGTTGAGATGAGTTTTTGAGAAAATAACTCATGAGACAATTGTCAAGATGTGTTTTCATGGAAAATATATTTTATCATTGCCAGGTTTCAAACCCACACATTTCAAGAGAAACAGATTTTGACTCTGGTGAACACTTGATAATGTCATCTTTAGCAGGTTTTGAACCCACACAGACAGATTTAGATTCCATCATATCAACTACTTGGCTAAGACCAGTAAGATTCACTTCCAATGGACCCATTGATAAGTGAATCCTCAAGGCAGTTCTTTCAATAGTATGATCACCACAATTAATTCTTAGGCCTGTTTATCTAGCAATTGCTCTGAAAAATTGCTGATGGCAGACCACCACAGTGGGCCGGTGATGTTTGTGATGTCTTTTGGATTAACAATTGAGTCGTGAGTGACAACTGACAATGAAAGGATCACACATGATTGGACTCAAGGAGCATGTTAGAAATTAATTTTAGAACTGACAAAATGTACCTTAAGGATTCACTTCTGAATGGGCTCATTGGGAGTGCATCCAACTGGTCTTATAGCTAAGCACTTAATATGACAGAATCCAAATCTGTTTGTGTAGGTTCAAAACCTGCTAAAGATAAAATTGCAAGTGAACATCAGAGTCAAAATCTGTTTCTTTTGGACTGCACAGGTTTGAAACCTGCCAATGATAACATTTTTATTTTATAAAATCTGAAAATCTGACCTTGACATTAACTCATGTGTACTTTCACGTTGTAGCTCGTGCTCCCAAACATCTGCTTTATATGATGTTTGTGGATGCACTTTTCTGTGTCCAAGAACATCTCTGGGCTCCACATCACCCTATATTTGTAGGCTCATAGGATCCATATTTACAACTCACTTTCAGGCTCAGTTTATACACCATTACCCTCCTAATAGATTTTGACTCTGTTTCAATGTCTACTTGGCTAAGACCAGTGAGATGGAGCTCTTAGGAAAGTACACATGAGTCAATGTCAAGGCATGATTTCATAGAATAAAAATGTTATCATTGGTGGGTTTGAAACCTATAAAGTCCAAGAGAAACGGATTTTGACTCTGATGACAACTTGACCAAGACCAATGAAAATGAGTGTCTGAGATACTGTCTATAAGCAATGATTCAAGGAATGTTCTAATAGAAAAAAATAGCAACATTCAACAGGTTGCATTCCAATGGAAACAGATTTTGATTCTATTATGACAACCACTTGGCTAAATACAACTTTGAGGAGCTTTTTAATAAGCAAACTGACCATGAGTATGTGTCAAGGTGCATTTTCATAGAAAATGAATATATATCATTGATAGGTTTTAAACCCACACAGTCCAGGACAAACAGATTTTGACTCTGATAATCACTTTGCAACTTTAGTAGGTTTTGAACCCACACAGACAGATTTAGATTCTGTTGTATCAACTGCTTGGCTAAGACCAGTGAGATTCACTTCCAATGAACTCATTCAGAAGTGAATCCTCAAGGCACATTTTATCTGCATTTTGTCAGTTCTTTCAATAGCATGGTCACTGTTGATTCTTTTATTCTGCTTTTTCTCCTAAAAAATTACCAGAGGCAAATGTAAGTATCTTTGATGCAAACTTGGAATGATAAGTACAAAAGCAATTTAATTCTCTCCAAAGGTCTTGACTTGGTTGAAGAAGAAGAGCAGATTACACATCAAATTTTCAAGTTTGATCCTAATGACTTTGGGAATGAGGAAGAACATACATCTGTCAAGACTGAGATTCAAAAGAGCCATCCAGCCATTATTCACTTATGTATAAGGTTGAAGTGAACTGTATTTGAGACCTTTCATCATCATGTTGCTCTCCTCTCGCTTTTTGAAAGTGCTGTATTGCAGTCTGTATTCAATTCATCTGTTCAGCTGAGGGAAAACATTGCGAGTGACAGGGAACTGTAGACTTGCCTTGCAGATTCACTTCTGAATGTGACGCCTGAAATGCTTCCTCCTTCTTTATCATGATGGGATACAAACCTAAAGCCATTCCCCACATCTTTGCCGACTCAAAGGTACCTGCTGCAGAAGAAAGGGTCCAACTCCTCCAGAAGATAAAAGAAGAAGCAATCGCCTGCCACAATATTGCTATGCAGCGAATGACAGAAAGATTCCTTGGTTTGAAATATCAGCCCTGGAAAATAGGCAATAAGATATGGCTATCATCGACCAATTTCTGACTAAAACTCCCCTCTCGGAAGCTTGCTCCAAAGTGGTATGGACCTTTCCCTGTATCCGCACCCCAACATTTCCTGACATCAGTACAAAAATATGAAAGCTGAGCATCCAGTGAATTCATGCACTTAGGTTTGAAACCCATTGAATGTCACATTTTTTCTATCAGAACATGCCTTGAATATTTGCTCATAAACAGTATCTCACACCAATCTTAATTGGTCTTAGTCAAAATCTGTCCCTCTTAGACTGTGCAGATTTGAAACCTATTAATGTTGCAACAGAATCAAAATCTGTTTCTTTCAAGCCTGCTCATAATTTTTTTGCAGTGTATAGATTTTCAGAGGTCCAAGTGCAAGCAAATACAAATGGGCACACCTCAATTCACTGACAGCACTACAACTTGCTTGGGAAGGGAACCTAACAGATAAATGTGCCTTAAGGATTCACTTCTGAATGAATTTATTGAAAGTGCATCCAACTGGTCTTAGCCAAGCAGCTAGTACAACAGAATCTAAATCTGTGTGTGTGGGTTCAAAACCTGCTAAAGATAAATTTTCCAAGTGATCATTAGAGTGAAAATCTGTTTCTCTTGGACTGTGCAGGTTTGAAACATGCCAATAATAAAATTCATTTTCTATAAAAACACACCTTGAAATCTGCTCATGGTCGGTTTGCTTGCAAGCTGATCACAATCATGTTTAGCTAAGTGGCTGTCATAACAGAATCAAAATCTGTTTTCATCAGAGTGCAACAGGTTTGAAACTTGTTGAATGTCTCATTTTTTCTCTAAGAATATGTGTCTTGAATATTTGCTCATAGACAGCATCTCAGACATTGATCTTCATTGGTCTTGGTCAAGTTGTCATCAGATTTAAAATCAGTTTCTCTTCAACTGTGCAGATTTGAAACCTGCCAATAACAATGTTTTTATTCTATGAAATCCAAAATGGTGGAACATAATGAATCACAAGTTAATGCAAAATACACATCATTATACAGATTATGTCAGTTTTCACTCATGGGCCCACTATGGGGGTCTGCCATGAGCACTTTTTAGAGAAATTATTAGATAAACAGGTCTTGAAGTTAAGAGCCCCAGCAGGAGTCTGTATCTTTTGCAATAAGAGCATTATAAAAGAATCAACAGTAATCATGCTATTGAAATAACTGACAAAATGCAGATAAATGTACCTCGAGGACTCACTTCTGAATCATTGGTTCATTGGAAGTGAATCTAACTGGTCTTAGCCAAGCAGTTAATACAACAGAATCTCGATCTGTCTGTGTGGGTTCAAAACCTGCTAAAGATAGAATTAATCCAGTGATCATAAGAGTCAAAATCTGTTTCTCTTGAACAGTGCAGGTCTGAAACCTGCCAATGATAACATTTTTATTTTTATTCTATAAAGCACACCTTGACATATGCTGCTTATGGTCGGTCAGCTTGCAAGCTAATCAGAGCTGTGTCTAGCCAAGTTGTTATCATAACAGAATCCAAATCTGTTTCTATTGGAGTGCAACAGGTTTGAAACCAGTGAAACATCATATTTTTTGCTGTAAGAACATGCCTCAAATATTTGCTCATGGACAGCACCTCAGACATTTATTTTCATTGGTCTTAGTCAAGTTGTCACCAGAGTCAAAATCTGTCTCTCTTGGACCATGCATGAGAGGAGGCTCATATCTGCTGGCCAATGTAGGTGAGGAATGTGATGGGTAGGAAAATAGGTGGTGTGAGATATACTCAGAGGGTCCTCTGTGTGCGAGCTAATGTTGGCCCAAGGGGATTGCTACTGAGAAGGTTCCTCTATGTTTATAATGAAGGGAAAACACTGGACCGGGTGTGTAGTTAAGCCTGGTAAGGCACGCGACGATGAGCAAAGCATAGGAAATGAAAGCACTATGAAGCACAATAACGCGTGCTGAGTGAGTATGAGGTGTGCGTGCAGGTGGTGGAGCAGCAGCGACTCTAATCAGCTGGAGGTCAAATAAGATGATGGCTTATTGAAAATAGGAAGGCTGGCGCTCATGTGTGTTCAGGTGCTGAGTGTCGGTCGGCGGCTATGACAGAGATTTAGACTTAGAGTCCAATGGTGTGTGGGCAGAAAAAGATAATTCTTTGTTCAGAGAGTCAGGAATATACTGACAGGAAATCATTACATACACTTTCATAATGAAGAAGTATAACACTTACTAGTCGGGTTGTTGCCGGTGTTGGATGACGGTGCTTGAGACTCTGACTTGTTGTCCATCAGTATATCAAATTGGACACAGCGGTCGTTTGAGTGCATCATTTTAATCAATGGTACAAATCAGTGTGAGATGGAAGTGAGATGGCGACCTTTGGAAGCTTAAATATCATCAATGTGTGGTGTGGCCCATGGCTGAGTTTGAATATGTGCCACAAAACAATGCATGTTTGCTGTGAGAAACCATGTAAGCGCCACATACAAGTGCTTCTAAAGCCTCATGGCACTGGGTCCTGAGCCGATCTATTTGGACTTCAAATTTTAATTGTTTCCATTACACATATATTGTCAAAATTAATGTTGTGGTCCTTTGCTTTTTTTCCGCCCACATATCATGCCATCCACAGAGGTTTCAAACAAAGCTCTTAATGATGCTGCTGCTCGAGTGCAACAAATCATGGCTCAAGCTGTAGAGTGGAAAAATGGTCCCACCGGCCATCTCACTATGGCCATGGACATCACAAAAATTTTGGTGAGCTTGCCAATATGAACAAAGGAAAAAATTTGCATTGAATCCTGATCAGTCGCCAGTGTTCGAACAACATGGGCGATCAGCGAGCATGATTCCGCCGCTTTTGTTATCGGCGGCGATGGAATGGCAAGATCATTTGGACCCTGTGACTCACCAATTGTTTCTAAGTGCGCCCATATGGCGTAACATTGTAGCGAATGATTCACAAATTCAGAAACATCCCTTGTATCGGAGGGCTCTCACATTCATCAGCTCCTCAAACCCATCTGTGATATCGCACTCGCTGGTGCAACTGGCCCAGCAGGTCATTGCCGATGCACCAGCGGAATCCACAGTGGGGTCCAAACCCAAACCTAGGCCACAGCGATTGCGCAGGAAGACATTGACAGTGGTTGAGAGTTCTGACAGTGATGCAATTGAAATTATTGACCATGTAGCCGCCACTAATGTCATTGGGCCGGACATTCGCAAAGGGAAGGGTAAGCAGACTGCGCTGCCCAAGAATGTCAACGGCGACACGCTGGTGGAGGGTTTGAAAGCAGAAACCACCATGGTTAGACAAAGGCCCATGCCGAAGAGAAAGCAAATGCAGGCAACCAGCGGCCATGACTCCAAGTCTGGTGTGATGGATCGAAAAGGGAAGGGGAAAGAGGTCCCACCTCCGGTGGATAGTGTGGACGGCAATGGTAGCGCACTGTTGCAGAGGAAAAGATCTAGAGACTCCAGTCAGAATGAGCAGTTGACGAAGAGCACGTCATCAGCCACCCACCCGCTGCTGTCCACCCACACCGGCGATCAATGCAAGCCTTGGTTTGAAGAACCTCTTCCTCTGCCAGTAGGGACCATTTAAGTTTCTACTGATGTCTCCCTTATGAACTTTATGTAGGCCACTGTTGCCGGGAAACTCACCATGAGCAAGCAGCATAAAAGTAGCCACTGGCATACTACATCGAAAGTGTATGATGAAGACCCATCGCTGGAAGCGGCCAGCGATGTTGCCAAAGAGTCGGCTGTTGGGACAGTAGGTATTCAAGTCCTAGATGTTTACCTTACTTCTCAAAAGATGCAGAACACCATCAATATCAATGTGGCGACCATAGACAATGCCGCCCTGAAGAGGCTGTCTTTACCACCTGTGACCTCTGTCTCTGCATATTCGCTGTCATCACTTGAATCATCCCTGACAGTGAGCCACCCTGCAAAACTGCCGCCACGGCACATGCAACCACTGCCATCACACACACAGCTTATGGATATTGATGTGCTGGCCAATACAGTGGTGAAGGACTTGCAGGCAATGACACTAGATGCTGCAAAGGACTTGGTATTAGTCTTGAAGAGTCATGAAGATATGTACAATACCATCCACAACCTTCACAATCAGGTCATCAAACTCCATGCTTGGAATGCTGCCACCGCTGATTCCCTTGAGGCATTGAATGTCAGTGTGGCTGCTCAGGATGCCAAGATGCGCAGTATGGAGACACTTCACGCCGACGTCGCTGTGCTGCAAGACCAAATTCGCACTTTGCAAGCGGAATCCCGGACACATGAGAACCAACTCCGTGCAGCTGATGTTAAATTGGCATCACAGGGAAGTACCACTGCCGTCCTGCAAGACACCTATGAGGCCCTTCGACAATGTTTGATCCCCACTCCATCCATACCTCCCCATTACAATAATGTCGTGTTCTTTCCTGCTTCCCACCAGCACCAGGTTCCCTATAATCAGAGCCTCAGTGTAGGCCAAGCACAGGCCATGGAAAGATTGTACTTCAACTTCACCCCAGGACCATCCACGGCCGCTGGCCCATCAGTCTCTGCACTCTCTGCGAGTGCTAGCATTCTGGGCGCCATCCTTGCACCCCCAGGGCCATCCACAGTCGCCGGCCCATCTGGGATGCATGCTCCCTCAGGCCCTTCCGGTAGTCGCGTCACAGGGAGTTCTCAAAGCACAGGCAACCTCGGTTAATCAGCCTCTGCATTTCACCATAATTAGATAGCTTCTCGTCCATATAGTGTTTCTATTTGTAATGCCTTTGAGTTGTTGGCGCCATCATGTTTCATCAATGCAGTGCTGAATTTAACGCTGTCATTCTTACCCAAATATCTCCGGTGTCTGCCGGCAACCACATGTCATTACATTTGGGACATGCTTCACACCGGCAAGGCTTGGGCATGTGTCCTTCATTACCAGTTGCCCTGCATGTCTTTCTTACGTCCCATTATAAATGTTCTGATAAGCCCTCAACATAAAAAGTCAGCAAATATTCAGTTTCTGTCCCTCAACCAATGAATCCCATTCCTGCTGATTGGGCATTGACCACGACTCATCTTGCCAGCGAGTATGTCTCTCGACAGTTCTGTTCTATTGTCGGAGTGATGCCCAAAGTCCTCCCTCCACCCGAGCTCGATGTAGTTTTGCTTATGGCTTGCTCAAATCTTGCACGGCGCCTCACCGATGCATATCTTAATCCAGGTTTGACCTCACCACCCATCCGCCAATAGTTCTGACTCGGGTCGGCATTAGTGACAATTAACTTTGATATGGTCCAGTATTCAGATGCATTGCATATACAAGAAACAGGCATCAATCCCCGGCACGAACAATCCCTCCTGGAGCGATTTCCGCCGGTTGGTCAACTTATGCTTGAGTGGCCTACTGTTGTCCTGGACAAATTTGGCCTTATTGTTCTATGGTATCTCCCTGGAGTGATTAATGAAACCATACAGGTAGGTGCTCGCCGCCCGCCGATGATGTTTATTGACTTCTGTAGAATGATATGATGGCGACGACCAAGATGATGTCATTTGTGTAAGAGTATCAGCCGAACTGCCGCCAAGAAGGAGAAATGGCACACCCATGAGAGCAATTTTCGAACCAGTGAACACAGCCTCACTCCGGGTTGTATTAATCCATCTCCAGGATGGTTCCTGCAAGGTCATCCAGTACGTCAGTATTTTACACCTGGAAGTACTTGCTGATGTCACTAGGCTCCAAAGTTTCATCCTGAAATATTGGCAACCCTTAAACAGGATGGGTCAACTATATGTCAGGCAATCCAGCGGCCGGTGGTCTTGGCTGCCACTGCATTGAGAGTCATGCATGGTGGCTTATACTGGTCGTCTTTGACAACTCAGCTCGGCCTCGGTCTATGGGCAGACAATAATCAATTCAAGGACATGGGAAATTGCCTCAGACAATGGGTGTCTTCATTTACAGTTCTCGCTGTTATGTGCAATCATTGTTCACCCCTGCACAGAGACTCTCAATCCCTCGCTCAATGATTTGATATCATAACCAGTATTGGTGATTATGGACTGGTGCAAATGAAATTGCCCAATATTGGCATTGAAATTACCTACAATTCAGGTGTGATGGTAGGTACTTCGGGCAGAATTGTTAGGCATGGTGTCGACAGGGTGAATGGCGATAGAGTTAGCTGGGTGTGGTACATGAGGGATGATGTTCATAAATTTGTTAATGTACCCCAAGGTGACTATTCCAAGTACAAGTCAATAATCGCTGATGCATTCTGTTGCAGTTAGGGGCATAGCTGATATGGTACATAGGGATGACATTCATGAATTTAGAGCACTTTTTGTTGCTAGTGAACACCTGTCATGTGTCCGATAGATTGGCTCATGGTGCCGTGGTGCTGTGCGCCATAATTTGTTAAGCTTCGGGCCTACCTGCTCGCTAACATACCGGGCCTGGGCACACCACTGTACAGGACACCAGCCCTAGGCCTGCAGTTTCTTCCACATACATGGGGTAAGCCCATGCTACACATCAATAGAATCCGGGCCCATCCAACAATCCAGTTGTACATGGGCTGGGCCAGGTTGCATCAACCTCAGTGGTGTTGTGGGCCTAACTGGTTAGTATGCATACAACCTGTGGGCCCATCCTGGCGATTTAAGATAGGGCCCACCCGAAAGCCAACATTTGTGGCCTAAGCCCACCTGTATTGCAATAGCTCCCTGCCTGGCCCAACCCTCCATCCTGCATTGCATGAATGGGCCCATTCCAGCACATGGCGCCATTGAATGAACAACCACCATGTGAAGCCTCCGATGCCCGGTGTGAATGTGATGCAATTGCCACTTACAATAATCCTATTCCATCGCCGCCCATTAATCCAAGATGGTGTCCACCCACAGCATATCACAATCGCAAAGTGCCGACCTACCGGCAACATCTCTGCATGCGTTCGCTGGCTACGACAGACAATCATATTGGCTGGTGGCCATTCACTTTTTAATTCTCCGGCGTGTTTCACTGCCCGTAATATTACCGGCGGTAGTATTCCAGTGACACCCAAAACCTGTGGGCCCACTCGAAACTGTTGAGCAAAACCTTTTCTGCTATACCTTGGGCCCACCTGTAAGCACAATGTATTTCAATCCAGAGACCCATGGGCCTACCCCAACCTGGCGACAAATATGACCCATGGGCCCCATCCTAGCCATCGGGTACACAACAACAAAGGGCCCACTCCATGACACTGACTTACAATCATCATGTGGGCCCATGGTGGATTGGCCCAGGTCACTTGGCAGAAATGTCAAGGTGGGCTAGACAGTAAGTAAGGAGATATGTCACTGTATTATGTGCTGCAATGTGCTACAGAACAATCAGCTGAACAGGCACAATAACATGACAGCTAAAGAACATACATTGCCTTCTGGATGCTCTTGAACAATGGATCTTGGGAGAATGTGGGCAGCATTGAGGTGTGCTTCATGACAAGTAAGAGGATGTGGTGCATTGAAGGTATTCAAAGCTCCAGTGACTGCACATTTATCACCTTCTCGTCTGGTGAGCTAATGACCTTTAAATGAACATTCTGTCAAGAACAAGGGAAGATGTTGCAACACACCAGATCCAGAAAGTGAGAATTTTGTGATGCTGCAGGCACAGTGTCAACAATGACTTTGGAAGCATTGGGGGTGGGTGTTACAGTCAACCATAACATCTGCAAGAGCCCCCGCTCTGCTAGACTGAACTAACGCGGCGGCACGCCGCCAGACTTAGAACAACAGCGGTCTGGAACCACTGTAACGACATCATGGCCTAAGGAAGGCCTGTTCCTGATCTCCAGAGACTGTCCGCCTCATGGGCACTTAGACCAGCACATGTTGCCTCATGCTGCCTCATGTATACCCAGAGCGCCTTGAGGCACCTCATGTATCTTATCTCACCTCATGGACAATTTCATGTACTGTTTATCTCTGACTCACCATGACTAGCATAGATCCCCAGATACGAACTGAGCTTGAACCCTTATGTACTGCGTATATAAGTAGACAGATCATTGTTGTATTTCTTCACTTTGATCTACTAGGTTTTCCCTTGAATCCTGTTCAACTAAGTCTCCAACTTAGTTGTCTCTGATCGCACTTTTGAGCCAAGCACTCCTTGTCTCAGTTGATCCCGCTAGTCCTGTATCTTGATGAGGTGTGCCTTACCAAGATAACCGGAGGGAACCTTGATATTCCGTCAAGACTACAATACACTCGGTACTCATTAAGCACATTCGTGCTAGTACCATTAGGACTACCCTAGTTCATAACAGTGGGAGTGGAGAACTCTGATTGTGGAGAGTAGCTGGGTCTAAAGGTCTTTTTGACTTTGCTATCATGAGCAGCAGTTTATGAACAAAGCAAATGACATACAAGGCCAGAGAAGGAAGAAGAACCAATCATGTGCCAATTTTGTTAACTCAAAGGCAGAGGAGTTCAATGCCTCTCCCTTTTGATAGGCCACTGAGATGGCAGCTGCTGCATAGCATACACCAGTTGACAAACCAGCTTGCTCTGAGCCATCAATCATTGCATCCAATAACCTATATGTGCTGACCCCATATGGATATATTGAGGTCATTGTTGGTCCTACTTCCTGGAAAATAGCTTTTGCATGATGCTTCAACTTGTCATTTGTCTCTGGGGCAGTGTCACTCATTATGGTGAGAAGATCTGTTTTGAATGTGTAGTCATTTAAAAGGGTAGGGGTGCTCTCGCTGGAGGTGAGAGACATGTCGCAATTGAAAGATAGATCGAAGTCAGCTGTGTGCTTGGTAGTAGTTGGTAGTCGAGTTTCCTGAAACCCCTTTAGTAGAGAGGGTTCTAATGACGAAGTAGTAGTGCACCTGACCATCACCGCTTATGTTACTACTTAGTAATATCAGTAGATGTGCTACAATGTTACTAATTAGAGGGAAAAGTCTACCACACAAGACTTCAGCGATTTCTTCAGCGATTAGCAGTGACTTGTAAGGTATTTTCTTGCCAGCCATTACTTAGCTATACCTGGTGTATACCTGGGTGGCTATATCTGGTGTATAGCTGGGTGGTATAAGCCGGTAATTCCCGTTAATTCTCTGCACCATCTCCCACGACCTACCAACATGCAAGCTCGCTTATACAGCTCAAATTCAATCCTTTTTCAAGCACTTTTTTGCCTCTTTGCATGGGGACATGTATTTTATATCTCTACCAGCAATATTTACGGGTTTAATGGCCCTATCTAGTGCTTACAGGTATGTTCATGCTCTGGGGCTAGCTTACTAAGCTTTCTAGTCCTCTCCACCCCACCATCAACGATGGGGAAGCAGCCCACTCTCTATTTGACATCACGCCGTGTGACGATGACAGTCCTATGTAGCTCTGGTCCACATACCTCGTCAGCTGGACTCTCTCGTATACGCCGGAATCGCCTTGAGGCCAAACGCTTGAGAGAACAACAAGCTTGTGGTAAGCCCTATGTTACTATGTCCTTGTCCTTGCATTTACTTTCTTTCCCTCGTCTGTCCCTTCACTGTCCTACGTAGCTCTGGTCCACATACTTTGTCAGCTGGACTCTCATATATGCCGGGATCGCCTTGAGGCCAAACACTTGAGAGAACAACAAGCTCGTGGTAAGCCCTATGTTACTATGTTCTTGTCCTTGCATTTACTTTCTTTCCCTTGTCTGTCTTTCCCTTGTCTGTCCCTCTAGATCAACACCTTTTGCTTTCCACTGAGGCCGCTATCGAGACTAGAACCATATTCAATGCTGATGACTTCCATGATGCCTCATATTTGCTTGCCACTGAGGCCACTATAGATATTTTTATGTTGTAATGTAAGAATTTATATTGCTTTTAACGAGAAAGATAAAGGACATGTTTGTCCCATTGGTTGAAATTTTCAGAAGGAAACTAAGGGCTACTACTCGTCCTCTGAGTCAGAGGATGAACTCGATGAATCATCTGTATCACTACTGATGATGACCATACTCTTTTCAGCGGTCTTAGTGGCGCGCTTTTTCCTCGGCTTGTACACAGCCTCACCATTTGCATGATGTGCTTGATTACTGGTCATCCTTTGCCAAAGCTCGTCCTCTGTGAGAGTCATCCAAGTACAAGTCTTATTGTCAAGTGCTGTCTTGTTACTTAAGGGTCTTATATGAAAGTTGTATATAATGACAACACAATTATACACAGTGGAGACTTCTTGCCAGTCCTTAAGTCCACAGTCTCCGACTTTTCTACTTCGTGGGAGGTAATGTGGTGAGTTCTTAGGAGGATTTAGTTTGTTGTCCTCTTCCTGCTAGCCCATAAAGCAGGAATAACCGAGAACGTCACCAAAGTAGAGTTCTTCCGCGAAGGTCTTGACGTAGGACTTCGCAACAACCTCTACCACACTGGAGAAAGTTTAGACGACTTTGAAACCGTCATCGCGACATGCATCAACCTGGATAACGCGTTCCAGAGGTTGAGAGCCATACAGAAATGAGAAAACCCCGCTCAATACCAACATAAGAAAAAGAGGTACGGGGATCGCCACTTTACCCCCCGTAGAAGCGATGCCATGGAGATAGACCAGCTCTCCGAGTCCGAAGTAAAGAGACACCTCAAGGAAGGACGCTGCTTCAAATGCCACCAGACGGGCCATCGTGCCAACGATACCACGTTCCACCCTAGGGAAGATAAGAAGCAGAAAATGCCTATCTGAAGAAAGATCGAGAAAGAAGAGAGTAGCGATGACGAAGAGGTAAACCGACGATTCGTAGAGATGGATTTTTAGGAAGGGAGACTGCATCGATGTCAGCACCCCCTGTCCCAATACGACTTGTGCAATCACTTGGAAATAAAAAGGAGCTTCGCGTCCCTGCCACTATTATTTCCACCAAGCGTAACAAAACCATCGAAACCTCTATGGTTATAGATTCCGGAGCAAGCGGAACCTTCATCAGCGAAGAATTCTGCAAGTTACACGGAATCAAAACCCATAAACTCTCGAAACCATTTCCCGTTATAACTGCGGACGGATCAGATGCTAGAGGAGGACTCATCTCTCGCTACTGCGTCCTCATTGTCAAAATTGATGGAAGAACCATGATAGGAAAATTCAACATAACCAAACTCTCGAAGAAAGACAAAATTTTACTTGGGTTCCCATGGTTGAGAGCGCTGAACCCGTCAATTGACTGGACGAACAAAGAATTGTCTCTCGCACCAAACGAGCGATCACTCGAGATCGAAAAGAACGTCGACTATCTCAGGAAGCAACGCAACCTACCATTGCTGTTCCCCCTTTCTACCCCTGCAGAGAAAGAGTCTTCCCGCGAATGGAAGAATTCCAAATTAAAGAAAAAAGAAACTGTTTTGCCCGTCTACCCACGAGCTTCTGTTGAAGAAGTTACCGATGAAGAACTTCCCCGTCTCGCACCAGACCAAGACGAGCCGGATTACGACACCAAGGAAGATGTATGGTCAGAAAACTATGCACCTCCGGTAATCGACCCCTCCCTCTATCCCTTGAACGATGAAGACGTCTTGATCGAATATTCCCCTGACGGTTCTCAAGTCAGAATAATCTCCGACGTCTCTTTTGACACTCCCCTCACCAGAGACGGTACGTCAAAGCACGAGCAAGGATATTCGAAAACCAGCAACAAAGCTCAGGAATTCGCTGTCGCTGGGGAGAAAGAAAAGATGAGAAAGAGTTTCAAAGAACTCGTTCCATCCTACCTGCACACCTATGCTGATATTTTTGCGAAAGACGGTCTCAATAAGTTACCACCGGAATGGCCTGGTATTGATCATCGAATCGATCTGAAGCCTGGATTCATGCCAAGGACATCCAAGATCTACCCGCTATCAGGAAAAGAAAGGGAAGCGGTAAAGACCTTTATCACAGAAAACACGGAGAAAGGATTTATTGTACCCTCGAAATCCCCGCAGGCCAGTGGATTTTTCTTTGTAGGAAAGAAAAGCGGAGAGTTACGCCCTTGTCAAGACTATCGATACCTCAACAATTGGACCATACGCAACCAATACCCGCTTCTGCTCCCCAAAACCCTTATAGAACGACTCTACAAAGCCAGGTATTTCACAAAGATCGACATACGGTCCGGCTATAATAATATCAAAATACATCCTGACGATAGATGGAAAGCGGCTTTTACTACCGAAGAAGGCCTGTTCGAGCCCACTGTAATGTTCTTTGGCCTAACCAACTCCCCTGCTACTTTCCAATCTTACATGAACAATCGTTTCCAGAACAAAATCAACGAAGGATGGATCGTCATATATATGGATGATCTGCTCATCTTCTCTTCTGACCTCGCAGAACATCGCGAACGGACAAAGAGAGTATTGGAGATACTCCGTCGCGAACAACTGTTCGTCAAACCGGAAAAGTGTACTTTCGACGCAGCAGAAGTGGAATACCTTGGCATGGTTATTCGTCCGGGAGAAGTCGCAATGGAGCATGCCAAAGTCGACGGGATAAAGGATTGGCCTATCCCAACTTCCGTAAAAGATGTCCGCTCCTTTCTCGGATTCTGCAACTTTTACAGGGTGTTTGTGTCCCACTACTCTGATATTGCCCGACCACTTATCAATCTCACTCGAAAAGATCAAGTCTTCGCCTGGACACCTGACGCTCAGACCTCGTTCGATAGACTCAAACAATGTTTTACTACGAAACTGGTACTACGAAACCCTGATCCCACGCGCCAATTTGCCCTTGCTACTGATGCCTCTCTGGTAGCAACCGGAGCCGTACTCCTCCAGACGGATGAAAATGGCGTCTACCACCCCTGTGAATATATTTCCCAATCCTTCAACCCTGCTGAACGCAACTACAAAATCTTCGACCGAGAATTGCTCGCTATAATTCGCGCTCTTAATGAATGGCGCCATTATCTGGAAGGAAACCCCCATCCCATTCTCGTCTTCACCGATCACCTGAACCTCCTTTACTTTTTGAAAGCACAGAAACTCTCTCGGAGACAAGCATGTTGGCAGCTTGTTCTATCCAATTATGATCTTGAATTGCATCACGTTCCCGGAACGAAACTTGCAGCACCTGACGCACTATCTCGACGCCCGGATCACGGTCTTGGTGAACATGACAATGAGGATCGTGTGCTCCTTCCAGACTCCATGTTTATACGGTTGATCGATGATGAACTCTCCACCGCCCTCACCAAGAACTCCTTAGACGATCCCATTTTCTCCGTCGCCAGCGACGCTTTGGATGGACTTTGCCTCCCTCCTATGAAATCGGCCCTCTCAGACTGGACAATATCAGCCGGGGTGCTCTATTATAAATCTCGCGCCTATGTCCCGCCCTCGCAACGGACGGCCATATTGCTCCGTCACCATGACCATCCCACAGCCGGTCACCCCGGGCGGTTTAAAACAGAGGAACTTGTCAAGCGCGACTACTGGTGGCCTGCAATGGGCACTTTTATCCACTCCTATGTCGCTGGATGTGCCCTCTGTCAGCAGATGAAGGCCGACACCCACCCTGTCTCGCCACCCCTTGTCCCCATCCCCTCCTCTGCTACTTGCCCCTTTTCCCAGGTCTCTGTTGACCTTGTCACTGACCTCCCTGTGTCCAACGGTTTTGACTCCCTCATGGTCATGGTAGACCATGGCCTTATGAAGGGGGTGATTATTTCTCCTTGTAACAAGAACATCTCTTCTGAAGGAGTGGCTAAACTATTCTTCAAGAACGTATTCAAACGTTTCGGACTCCACGAAAAGGTGATCTCTGACCAAGGCCCCCAGTTCATTTCAAAGTTTTCTAGAGAATTAGCACGCCTCTTGGGATACCAGATCGCTGCCTCCACAGCGTATCACCCTCAGACTGATGGACAAACCGAACGACTCAACCAAGAGATAGAGACATACCTCCGAATATACTGTAGAAGTAACCCCTACGAATGGTCGGACCATTTACCCCTCGCCGAATTTGTGCACAATCACCAAAGACATGAAGCAAGGAACGCATCCCCATTCTTCCTTATGATGGGATATGAACCTCGCGGCATTCCCTACGTACTACCATCATCGGATACCCCTGCCGTAGAAGAAAGAGTTCGTACCCTCCAGAAGATCAGAGAAGAAGCCATCTCCTGCCACAATATCGCCATGCAACGAATGGCAGAAAGGACGCACAGAAAGAAGTACCAACCGTGGAAGATAGGAGATAAGGTCTGGCTATCTGCAACCAATCTCATGACCACTCTCCCATCTAGGAAGCTTGCGCCCAAACGACACGGACCATTCCCCATAACCGCAGTCTTATCGCCAATCACGTTCACCCTGAAACTTCCCGAACAATGGAAGGTTCACCCCACGTTCCACGCTTCTGAACTATCCTCCTATCAAGAGACAGAGATTCACGGACCGAACTACAAAGAACCACCTCCAGATATAGTCAATCAATCGGAGGAATACGAAGTCGAAGCCGTCCTAAGTCACAAGGGAACGGGTAAACGAAGACACTATCTCGTATCCTGGAAAGGATACTCTTCTGGAAGTAACGAATGGATTCCAGCGGAGAACATGGAAAACGCTGAGGACCTACTTTCCGCCTATAAGAAGAGGCACAAGTTGAACTAATTCGACCAGTCCCCACCATCATAACAAACATGTCTTCTCAACAAACTACCTCCCCTACCGAATCCAATGTCTCCTCCATCAGCCTTTGTGAATCCCCTTTTGCCGACAACGTTGTCAGCATTGAAGACGACGTCATCATTGAAACCACTATCCTATCCGTCGCCCACGCCCTCGAAATCGAGACCTATCTCAACAACCAGCCAGCAGTGCCAGCTGGAGTCACTGCCACTTATATCCACATCATTAGAGCTACCCAACGCCTCGAAGAAGAATTTGCCCAGATTGAAAACGATGCCCTCAGACTCTCCTGCAACCACGTCCAGCGGCGCATTCGCTCACTTACGCTTCAGCTATTCCCTCTTGGTTTTAGCACTATCTGCAGGGAAATTATACAGACTGTTGCTGATCGAAACTCCTTCCAAGTCGGCCGCCCGTTGCCTCCTATTACTCACAATCCCCCCGCTGTTCTACCTGATCCAACTTCGATTGGAGGGAACGCTGCACCAGTACCTATCCCAGCGCCCAACGAGGTCTATAGGAGAAACCTCCACGGCGGAGCCGCCATTCACGGCGTAATCAAGAACAAATCATCCAAAGGAAAGAAGCGCGAGGTCATCGACCTCACCAAGGAACCCCCCACTACCTCGCTCTCCAATATCACTATCAGATCCCCCTCGTTAAAACAAGTAGTCGGCACTATCGCTGACGCCAACTTTATCTGCCGAGTCTGCAAGAAGCTTGGCCACAAGCACAAGAACTGCCCCCTATACTTTTGTCACTTCTGCGGCGACACGAAACCCAGGCACTTCTCCATCTATTGCCCCTTCGACACCAACAAGCCAGCATTCCCGTTGGTCTATACCGACGAAGGCTTCTACGACGCGTTAGCCGCATGGGAAGCGGAGAAAGATAAGAAAGAAGAAGAGGATCTTGAGCATGCCAATAGGGAGTACTTGGTACAGCCAGAAGAATTGGAATTCCACAATGCCGACGCCGACCCCATCTACTACGCAAACCAGGACAACTAGTGATGTCGAAGCCAGTGCCATCGACCATAACACGGGGGTAATGTTACGGCACACTAATTCTCTTCGCTTCTCCTTTGATACCGGACAATGGTACTTAAACACAGCTGTTGTTGAGCGACCAATTACTTTCCAGACTCTTACTCACATCATCACCAAGCTGACTTTCTGTGCTAGTAACCATCACTATGTTTAGCTGATATCTCTTATCAAAGCGGGCTGTCCGCACCATGGTTACTATCTCTTATCTCTTATCTCTTATCTCTTATCGTTTACCAAGCGGGCTGTCCGCCTTCTATCTTGATACGCATTTACAAGCTCCGCTTGAACTCTCGCTATATAGATACATAGCGTACCACATGTAGTTCTTCACTTTAATCTACTGGGTTTTACCTGGAACAAGTCCTTTAGCAAGGTCTCCAACCTTGCTATCTAAGAACCATCATTCTAAGGAAGTCGCCGATACTTGCCTTAGCCAGAAACCTTTGACCTCTCATTCGAGAGAAGAACCACGTCTGTCTTGCCGAATCTCAGTCCACTCGGACTAAGACAGCTCGACATACCCCAGTCGTAACACCAAGCCAGGCCAAAGCCGCGGCTCGGCTTGGGCTCAACGACGGCTTTCAAGAACAAAATGATCTGAAATTCAATCTAAGCATATGTGTAACAATGAGATACTAAAAGAACTTCATGAACCATGTAGGCATGGATGTTGGTATCGTGGGTCTGCCTGTGAGTATGTCTTTGCGCACATGGAAGTACTTGATGTGCGCGAAGATGAGCGTGCTGTTGTGTTCACCTGTGACCGGGTGCGTGATGTCTATCGATTGGTAGAGCCGTCGAGAGGCGATGTTGTCAGCGAGCGAGCGGGCTAGGCGTGAAATGGAATTACCTCACATTCAATGCTAAAAGTGCTTTCCTTAACGCGCGAGGCCCTTATTTGCACCTGAACATGTCGTCGTTAGCGGATATATTGTATCATAAACGTGCATGCATACTGAGTTTTCTCCGTGAAGCGCTTGAGGAATTCGTCATAGATGCCTTCTTGCAGGAAGATACACAAACCTGCACAACACGTCTGACCGTGGTTCCAGCTGGTGAAATATGAGTGTAGTTTGCATGACAACATGGTATACTCACAAGACACCAAATGCAGCCCAGTTGAGATTTCACTGTTCCCAGATGCAAATGGCACATCTCACCACTCGGTCGGTCCTACTTCGTCAACCACAATATTCGGACCACATCGTGGACGAAACCAAAGCCAGAACGTCTGGCAGGAAGCTTGATGCCGGAGTATATCATCGAGGGTCACTTCAACTGCATATGGAGCCTTGCCTATTGGAGTACTAGTGGCAATATAATGAGCACGTTTAAGGATAGTTCAATTTGTCAGTGGAAAAGAGACGAAGAGCCAGTGGGAAAACCTTTGAATAGTGACGGAGGAGGGATAGGCTCGATGGCACTATCCCCAGATGAATCAATGGTCATTTATAGAAGTGTAGATGACAGATTGCGGCTGTGGAATATAAAGGAGGGCAGCATGGATGGGAGGTGCATGGTGCTCCAGTTGTTACAGTAACATGGCATGAGTCCCCTGCCAGCAGACAGCCCTCTGCCACCGCACGGCTATAGATGATACCGGAGTCTCACCAGCTCTATGACGATAGATGATGATAGATGATGATAGACGATAAGCAGCAACTGCCGGCTTAGATAAGCGGTCTGGACCACACGTGACGACACATGACGACATAGGTCTAGAAGACCTATTTATGTTATCAAGATAGAAGGCAAGCCTCGTGCTGCCTCATGTACTGATAGAAGGATGCCTCATGGATCCTATCTACGATAGAAGCCCGCCTCATGGACGCTATCTCTGACTCATGTAGATAAGCAGATTAGAACCCAGCTTTAGGCTGAGCTTAGATACGAAGAGTAGCCTTATATAAGGTCGAAGATTAACAGTAGACGTTCCTTACTTTAATCTTACTAGATTTACCCTTGAACTCCTTGTCCCACTAAAGCTACCTGCTCGACATCGACTTGTACCTTCAGTGACGCCTCTCACTGTCTGTAAACCGCTATCATCTCAGCGTAACCCCTCGTTATCCACCACGAGCTACGTTTGAGTACACAACCTTTGCTTGTCTGTAAAGGCCAACGACTCTCAGCACTCGGTACCACTGTCGTGGTTGTCACTGTTTAGATCATCCTAGTCACACACGACCGTGTGTCGTAACACCAGTGGTGTGCCTCGATTGGTCTCACAATTCCCTCGAGATAGCAAGTGGATCGGAGGACAGCACCATATGACGCTGGAACCCAGATACTGGTCGACAAATAGTGCCACTTATACAAACCAGTCATGCGTGAGTTTATGCCATCAAATATTCTCCACAAGGTGACAAATTCATGAGCGGCGGTACGGACAATGTGATTCGCGTGTGGTCGAGGAACGGCAAGTGTCAGACACACCCTTATTTGGCAGGTTATATCCCTTCATGTGGATGTACTTGGTTGGTGGATTAGCTGGACTGACCCTGTTTTCATAGTTACATGGTTGCAAATATCGAGGCCGATAAGGAACAAAAAGCCGCGGCCTGAGCCGCCGGCTCAGGCTTTTCAACACCTCAAGCTGGGCCCTGGGCTGTGGTCAGGCCCTGACTTGGGCCCGGCTCGGCTCGGCCTAATCAGGCTCGGCTTTGGCTGGCCCATGGCCTGAAGCCGGGCCGTGCACATCACTATTTGTGACCTCTGTGAGAAAGTTACGATTTACTGATGTATACACTGGGTATAGCTGGGTAATAGCCGGCAAGAAAATACCTTACAAGTCACTGCTAATCGCTGAAGAAATCGCTGAAGTCTTGTGTGGTAGACTTTTCCCTCTAATTAGTAATGTTGTAGCACATCTACTGATATTACTAAGTAGTAACATAAGCGGTGACGGTCAGGTGAGTAGGACCCCACTACTACCGCTCAACAACAACTGCTAAGATGACTGACGCATCCTTGACGACTTACCCAACGAACATAACAAACTTAACAGATTTACAATTGTGACAACAACGCAGCTCTCAAATGCAGCTAATAATCCTACAAACCAGTTCAACCCGCACTATGTATTACCCGCACCTCAACAATCACATCCAAAGGTTGATTTCATTAACTCATACATTTCTCACTAAACAAACTCGTTTCAGCTTACCTTAAAAGTGTTCACACTTGGTCAACAACCAATCCGAACAAGACTAACTCCCGTGCGCACTGCAAAGAGTAGTACTGCACAACCAGTTCTGACGCAACAGATCGTCGCTACTCCAGTATACCAACCACCTCCTCAACCGGTAGCACCTGTACAAGTCCCTCCTCCTCTCCCACCAAATTCACCCCGTCATCCACTTCCTGTTGTCTCACAAGCTCTCCACTCCACCTATCCATCCCGCCCACGCACAGGAACAACCCTCCTCGTCCAACCCATACTCACCCAGCCCTCCGCAGCAGCCGGAAATACAAGAGCCTCCACCCGTCGTGGAAGTATGATCAGCCAGGCTCAAGAGACGAGTTCCCAGATGCTGGTGCTATCGAATCTGATGACTCTGATTTTGTCAGTAGTGGAGGCGTGAGGACACCCTGGTCTTTCTTCGTTGAAATAGTGAACATATATATAACAGCTGATAGGAAAGACCGCCGACCATTCTCGTTACTCCTATGGCTGGCAAAGGGTTGAAATTCTTACAGCTTTTAACCAATGACGTTTTCCTACTTGCATTTTGTTTCTCCGTTAGTTTGCAGGCAGTGAACGCTTCTTTAATATTGAAGGTCAGTTCAACAAGCATTTCATTATCCCCATTGTCTCCTGCTTTTACTGCGCGAACCACGAAATTGGCTTCAGACGGGTCCTCCCTGTCCGTGGACTTTGAGCTGACTTTATTTTTCGAGGCTGTAAAGAATGCCGACTGTACCATCATACAATCTCGGGAGGTGAACGCGAAGTTCGAACCTTGACCGCACGCTCAATGCGTTTCTATCCCTGTCAGGACCGTGGTTCATGGAGGCCCACAAGGAGAGAATCAGAGTAGCTGGTCAGGAGATTTCGGTATGTATTTTTACCATCTTGTGTAGTTCTTTCCCTCTTTCCTTTATCATGAATCCCGCACTTTGTCAAGATGCTCTCAATCCTACATATGCCGTGCTTTTCATTTTGACATCCGTCCTCAGTTCTTCTTCCATCTTTTCACTTATATTACCGTTCAAATCAGCAGCAATGCCTACTGCACGAGGTTCGATGGCGAAAGCCATGGCTTCCACCCCAAGTGGTGGCAAGATTCATTACATCATTACCTCCAACTGCGATACGAGGGACGAATGTACCCGAACTCGCTCTCAGCCCCAAAAATGACGCTTTTAGGCCCATGTTCTCATCGTACACTCGCGGCTTTCAATGCTGCCACAATACACGACTAAATCGCATCTTCTCCGGCTCTAAATGAAGGCATTCTCCTGTCGGCTCTGCTGGCGCTGTGTCAGACTAATCACAGTGATACCAACGCAACTGTAAGTCTCGCAAGTACGACATCTTAGTATTACATGATATGATATCTTCCCTTAGCTGGTAGTTACGCATTGCTGTCCGCACTATCGCATCAAGTTTCACTGTCATCTGCTGCCGTGGCAGCTATATTGTCAGAGCAATGACCACTTCCGAGATGCGAAGGACAACAGCCTGAGAACTAGCGAACAAGTTGCAACTCATCGAAGTCGTAATTGCAATATGCTCACCAGAACAAGCGCTTGGCGCTTTCACACCAGCACAGGGAATTTGTGTCTAAAGACTCCGTAAGTCAACTTTGGGAACGGTGACTATTTGATGTTGAGGTCGCCGTCGCAGCACATTTACGGGAAAACTTTGAAGTGCAGTTCAGTTTGTTGGAGCGGAAAAGTTTATTTTGCCCCTCCTTGAATATCTCAAGGACCGTGCAGGCTAGCTCAACAATCGAGGACCGCTTGTAATTGCTTTCTGGGAGCAACCTAGGTACTGTGACGCCTGGTTTCTTACATAATCACGAACAATGATGTCATTTCTACTATAAAGCCTATTGACTTTCAATTCCACTCCACCATATCATCATGTCCTCTTCCACCAAAGACGATGCACCCCGCCCTCCTTCAAAGAGCGTTGAACCAACCAAAGTCAACACCGCACCACAACAAGGTAGGTACTCTATCCATTCGATCTCACTTAGACTTAATAAACGCAGCTTCCACTTCACCTGGTGACGGCGCTCATATTCCCGCAGACCAGATTCGTGATCCCTCCGAGGTCGATTACAATGACCCCAATATAAACGTGGTAGAGGTCCCTGCAGAGAAAAAACGGTCCCCGACATTCAAAGAACAAGTATTTGGTGAGCGTCACTCATAGAATTCGGGCATACAAACTGACGCGCCGGTAGGTTATGCCAAGGTATGATCCGCATCGACTGTAACTTATTACTCATTAATTATCTTGCCCACTTCCACTCAGGTCATCCGTGGAAAAGTCAGTCACTTACTCGCCTGCTATTATTCTCTCGATTTATCTATCTACAGGCTTTTGGTAAATCAAATGTCAAAAAGCACGGGGAACAAGTGTTGCGAGGTGAAGAGACCATTCCAGTGAAACGCCGTCGAGGTTCAACTTCAGATTGATACCTTGGTCGTGTCAGTGGCTTTCCTTGGACTCTATCCTATTACTCGAGCTACATTATCTGTCACCGTAGACCACTTGTGGTACTGTATAGTAGGACATTCAAGGTATAACATATTTACCCATGAAAACTCATCTTCCCATCGCCACAAGTATAACCAGTAATATACGAGATTTCCCGAATGTTCAAACGTTCAAACTCCACACTTGACTGCTTCAGGCATATGCACTTAGCTTGAAATGGGTGATTGCCTTGATTATCACAGGTGAGAGAACGAAACTGGTAATTTGCATAGAGAAAGATCGACCGGTGACGACTGCACGGAGATACTGGTGTGTGACCCATTCAATTCCGACACAAAAAAATTGTATCCCAGAGAGAATGTACGAGTCTACATTGAAGGGTCGAAAGCAAAAGTGAAGTTCGTTGAAGAATTAGAGTGTTTCCGAAAAACTCACGTGAATCAACACAGCTCGAAGTATTTTCACCCGCCTTGTGGCGCTGTCACAAAGCCTAATTCCAATTCCAATTTCACCCCTTTCAATAGAAATACAGATACAGATACTAATTACCGTGCTCAACATTCCTTCAGTGGGCGAAAACCCACGGAAGCGACCCTTAAAAGCGGAAGGCTTTTATTAGCGTACTCCCGCTTGCCAACTTGAAAACCCCCACTTGGACAACCACCATCATGACGTTCTCCATGCCATCTACTTCACCTGTCTTCGATGAAAAACATATCCAAGAGCCTGTTCCACCTGTAAAAATGCACCCAACCAACCCAGTCGTCTCTAGCGCCGAGTTTGTCCTCGAAGTAAGTTTTCATATAGACGTAGTACCGAGTGACACTCATTTTAATCAACGATACACCAGCAAACAAATATCGTCAAGATCAACGACGATGCGGTCAAAAAAGCCACACAATACGTCAATTTAATCTTCCATATAATTCGAGAGCATCGCGCATCTGACCGATCTACGCAGATTTTGAAACAAGTCTCTTCCGAGCCATATACTCCGCGTACATGGCGCACGCACCCCTTGCACATCTGTCCGCCGGAGCCGTATGACCCTGACGATATACTCACGGGTGCATGTCTGAACTGGATATTCCTCATCTCTTCTTTAAATTTCAGTTTTTGGTCGGAAAAGGAAGGCCAGCTGGATCGGTACGGTATTGAATGGCGGACTAGCTGGAGTAGCGAGGCAACGACTGTGCACACTGGATACTGGAGCTTAGTTGCTGCTCTGAATCGAGGTGGGCAAACGCGTCATCATCTTTTGTTTCTTATTTGTAGAGTCCGAATCTGACTGAATCGGACCTGATGGTCACTAGCGTTAGAGGAGGGTATACCCATAATCGATCCCCGATTTTATTCTTCTGAGACGCTGTGCCCGGACTCGCTGATCGCGCACGTATTCCGCGCTGCACCCCAGTCGGCTGAATCGATGCCCCTGTTTAATGAGCGTTTAGCGATCATGCGCGAAGTCGGTACTATATTGTGCAACGTAAGCTTTTCCCCATGTGCATATATGCATGCTGGTTTATGGACACATATTAATGTATAGAGTGAATTTGGAGGTTCATACCTAGGGTTTTTACAAGCCTTCCAAGGAAGATACGACAATCAGGGCACGGCGCTCGACCTCGTCCAATTCGTCACAGATTCGTTCCCGAGTTTTAGAGATGACCGAATGTTCAATGGACGACGAGGCAAGTTAATATTAATCATGGCACCCAATTGGCGTCAATCAATTCCACAAGGCTGACGAGTTTGTGCTTACTAGTATATTTCTGGAAACGGCCCCAGATCCTAGTAGCAGAAACCTGGGCAGCCTTCTACCCAGAAAATCCCTACACCCCACACCCGATCTTCCCCGGCCTGGACGGAGCACGCATCAGCGCCCTAACGATGTTCGCAGATTACCGTGTCCCCCAGATCTTGCACCACCTGCGCATCCTTACCTATCCCCCATCGCTCAAACACGAGTTGTGCACCGGAACGCAACTCAGAGCTGGATCGAGAGAAGAGATGAGCTTGCGCGCGGCGAGCATCGTTGCTGTTGAACGTATGCGGAGTGAGATGATGAGATGTGGATCAGGTTGGGAAGCGAGCTGTGTTTTGATTGATTTCTATCTTTGGGATTTGGCTAAGAAGTTGCAGGGGGGGGAAGAGTGTCTTGAGGGGATCGAGACAGAACATATTTTGCCTGTCCATAGGACGAGGAGCATTTGGTACTAGGTTTTGGTAGATGTAGACTCCGTTTTACTCGTATTCCCGATAGTTCTTATAGCCTCTTTATTAGCGATAGGATTATAGATTTCTCGTGTTTCAAATGTAGAATGTAGACATGCACAATGACAAGTTGCACTGAAGGTCTCCATCAGCTCGCTCACACCTCAGTTCCCTTGATGCGGCACGCCATTCGAAGTTCCGGCCTATGCCGCACCAAGTGAACTCGAATGCGCGGGTTTCTATGATGTTTAAAATAGCTCAGTGAGAAGAAACCAACACCGACCCTACCCTGGTCATGACGCACATGTGGATCATCAAAACGCATACGTACGTGTGTACAGAGTGTATGACGCAAAGAACGCATGACACTTGGCTTGCGATACCGTCAATAGTCTATGGTGCGGTATGTAAATGACAATGATTGCAAACCACAAAGTCATTCATAATATCACTTAACCGAGTTCTGGAGTAGCCCCAAATTCATCTGAGGAAGATATCGATGGAGAACCAGGTTGGCCAGTGTATCCGATAGTGCCAGATCCATCTCTTGGGTAGGGATCCGTTGCAAGTTGGACAGGAACTGTGAGCCGCAGTTCCTTGAAAGGCGATTTGGAGATATCGGGCGGAGTCATGGTCAGGACTATACAATCCTTTATGACTAGGTCTCAGCTGAAGCTCTCAACAAAGATGTAAAGCAAGTGCCTACCTTGATGGAAAAACCACCCGCCCTGAAGCCTCCGACCTTGATATCGGGACTGATATAAATATCTCCTGAGAATGCAATCCAGTGTGCGCCGCCTTCACCCTATGGAATCACGTCAATCATCAAGCGCCCTTTGCCAAATGCACTGCGCATTGCGTGACATACTGCATGTCTGAAAGCACCTTCGCCAATATAATCGACTCTCCAGATGTCGGTGCGGGTGCCAAGTATTAAAGCATTGCTGTCGAGCGAATTATCAAGTACATTTACACGAAAATCACTGAAAGAACAAACCGAACATCAACAGTCGTCTGCCTCAACAACTGTATTTTTGTGTGCTGCGTTTTCAGAGATGTGATTACCACCGGTCCCAAAGGCATAAATGCAGCAAGAGACATTGCCGAAGACGAGAACATAATATGGAAAGGAATGGACTCGTGTATGCAGAATGTTCGACTGGCTGGGAGATATAACTGATGCCCGGAAACCATCAGGATTGAGATATACATTCATTCACAGCATCAACCAACCTTTACCATGATGTCGTGTCCTCCTTTATTTGCGTGAATCAAGGTCGGAAAGACCTTCCATTGCGAGGTCTCGATTATTCCCCATTGACCGGGTACCAGAGGTGGTGGTAATGAGGAAGATGGGCGAGTGCGAGGAAGATACACAAACGGAGTCGAAATCGTCCTGTAAACTGTGAAAAAGGTTTCAGACAATCCCACCTAGAAACACACCAATCTCCACCCCCCAACAAGGACGACTTGACTGCATGTGGTATGATGTTTGGTTTCACAGCACTGACACTAATGCTATAATTAATCCTCGCCCGAAATCCAGGCAGGCCGGATAGGTGGGCCTCATGGCTTGGCGGGAGAGGCTGTACTCGTAAATTGTAATCGTCAAGATGCTGTTCAAATTTCGCGCCGTTTACATACATAGGATTTTCTGCCGTCCGAAAAGGTGGTTGGAAGAGGGAGACTGAACGAGAGCGAACGCGGGCATGGCGCTTCGTAAACTCTGTCCTTGACCCACAAAATTGTCTTGTTGAGAAACAATTTGCAGTTTGTTGTCCCACTTTCAGCCAACTCCTCCATCATGAGGGTTCCTTCGATCTAAGGGGACTGTATCAGAATAAACCCCTATTCACCTGGCTAATCCGCTCACTTGAACTTCAACACTCGTGATACCATCTCGTTTGTGGATGTCGAGGGTGCCCTCCACAGATGCGCCATAACCATAGACAGGAAACGTGACTCGGTCGTCTTGGCCCGCAAGGCGAAGAGTCACGCCACCATTTTTGGCTTGCTTTACAAATTCACGCGGCGATCGGTTGGGATTTAGACGCTCATTGTAAGCTAACCGATATTCATGAGCCTGAGGAGTAGCGGTATACGTCGGTGAATGGACCTGTGATGAGGGAGAAGGGTACGCGGGAAGTGTTACATTGGTTGCAGTGGTGGACATGGTAGTGCGCTAGCAAAGTTCAAAAAGATCCATTTCCTTCTCGAGGATTGAGTGTTATGTGGAACGTCGAGCACCATGCGGGTCCTCGGCTATACTTAACCCTAGCTTCCCACTCCCTTCGGCGTCCACAGCTAAATGAGTATTAGGTTCGGTGAAGACGGTCAACTAAAGTTCGGGCGCTTCCTCAACTTTGGAGTTGTGTTTCAATGCTGAAAAAAGGAAAATGGGACCCGAGCGCAGTTCTCAATATGGTGGTTCACTGGGGCTGCTTGAATGATGTGGACAAGTTTGGATGACAAGAAGCGAGGAAAACCATAATATGAACCTCGTGGCTGCACGGTTACAAGTGTGGCCAATATCCCACACGGGCATTCGGCTGACGAACACCGATTACAATAACGTCAACGTGTGCATGGATAAATAATTACACTCGCTTCTACTAGGAGCCTCCAGCTCACTCAAGGGAGTGTAAGAGTGCCTAAAACCCACCCTTTCCACGAACTCGCGCGATACTCCCTTGGATCCCTTTGACCACCCCTCGAAATCCTGACCCAACGCCAGTAGAGTCCGTAAGTGGGTTGCCGTGCTTATCACGGTATATGCCATCTTTCTCCAACTCATGTAAATGCGTGTTCTGATTTCTCCGGATGCCATCAAACCATTCCTGACATACTATTGGGTTGTCAACCATAACGTTCACCTCTTGGCTGTGATACCAAGACTGCGTGTCTGAGAATTTTTGATGAACATCTGTGAGTGGTCTAACGGTGAAAACCACTTATACCTTGGTTGCCGTTGCCTACGATCCCAACAGAATCGTCGATGATCATTAGTTTCACCTGAAACCAGGTAAGGGCTCCGCTACTAACTTCAATAAAGATAGGACGAACATGACAGTTCCGTTTCTGCGCGGACGCATTGATGGGCTTTATTTGATCCTTGCCTGAAATGATTACAGGTGAGTATTCAACACACCCTCGCGGGAGAAGCACATACCCGTATACCAATAAAGTTTGAGTTTCTCTTTCTCCTCGTCAGTTAACTGTGCGAACATCGTCTTGGATACTTCCTCATTCGTGCCGCCCTGTCCGGGGAGTGCTTCCCCACCATCATTAAATCCCACGTCTATATACAGTGTGCACTCAATGCCGCGCCTGACTGCGTCCAAGATGCCTCCAACTACAGGGACTGCATTTAAAGTCGGACTTTGAATGAAAATCTTCCTTTGGGCGTATTTCAGCCCTGCAAGCCAGGCTGCATCCTGCGCGTTGTGCAAACCACTCGCGGCATTCCCAGGATTTCCGTTCGGCGCACGGTTTACCAATGCCATGGGACATTCTCCATGATGTGTGTGGAGAATGTGCGGGGTGTATTCATCTCTAGACGATGCTGGTGGCTCATACGATATAGTGGCATGTGTATCTGGCTGATCTCCGGCATCTACATGGTATCAGACTAGGGAACTTGGATGTGAAACGAGACGATGGCTTACTGAGGTGCTCTGTAATTGTCTGATAGGTGCCGGAGATGAATGGGACTCCTGCAGGTAGAGACCCAGAAGAGGCAGGATCTTCCCTTCCTTCTTTATCCAAGTCTCTGTCGTGAATGCCGCCGGCCTCCTGTTGCAGTGTCTTGAAAAGTTCCGCCCCTTTGCTACCATCCAGAATCCGGGTCGTGGCGTATTCATTATCCATTCCAAATTTGTAGCCTCCCTCAGGCGGCCGATACCGAGTATTGAGCAACGGAAGGGGTGGGCGCATGGGCCTAAACCAACTGATGAGAGCAGTATCATACAAACTGTCAACAATCGGGCCCTCTAAGTGGATCATCATCTCCATGTTAGGACGGTCTTGAATGTTATTTGAGTTCAGGAGCGCCACTTTGCGATCCACGATCATGAACTTGCAATGAAATGTCCCAAAAACAGGTCTTTGCATCATGTAGTAATTCGCATATGAGAGACAACTGGGAACACTCACTGATGAAAATTTACCAATTCGAAGTCGATTCCTGGCATGTCGCTCCTCTTGGGGAGCTTTACTTCATCACTGGCCATTGCTGCATCGTCGACAATAATGTGGCTTTCCATGAGCATCTTTAAATTTGCACGGTCGTACATCATCTTCACCACGACCTTCTTGCCCCTTTTCATGGCTCTGCGCGAGAGTTCGAGCAAGGCATCGCATATCTTGCTAGCGGACTTGGATGCTTGCCAAAAGTTTGTTGCCAAAAACACCTCCGACTCAGCACGGACGATACAGTCATAATGGTGCTGTATGATATCCGGAATGCTGCTCAACGCATTAGCGAAAGACGAACAAGGAAATAAGAAACCTGGAATTACACGGAAATAATGCTCAGGTTCACAACACCTCTAGAACCCAACAAGGGGGGCGATACCACACCAGCCCAAGGATTTGTATCGAGCGTAGTAAGTACGTCACAGTAGATCTTTTTATGCAATGAGTCAAGATTATACGTCTGCCGCACTTCACTCACCTTTAAGAACAGGTCACTTGGCCTACTGCCAAAATCTCCGCACTCGGCGGCGCGGTCGAGATCCGTTTGTGTAGGTTCACCGGGTGGAATTCGCTGTGTCTCATTATCATTTCCGTGCTGCAGCACACCCATAAATGTCTCCAGATAACCTGCGGAGGACACGGGCTTCTTGTGATGCTCTGCATAGAGCGTTTTCACAAGATCTCCGGGTGATGATGCCGGGGAGGCTGCGAGCGCCGCAGTAAGCGTCTTCTGGGAGTGAGTTAGCGAGTAGGCTTTATCTGAGACAGTCATTGTGGTGTTTGAAAGAGCATAGAACTGAGCGCAGCATGACGGAGTCGATCCATAACTATTTGCTCCAAAAGTCTCCAAGCAGTACTAGCACTACGCCACGAACCAGTTGTGTCATTGCGCGGATGCAATTTAAAGGCACGTGCGTGGGCCCGCTGATTCCCCCTTTCGAACGAAATTGGACGCTCCAATGATTCCTTTGGATTAATCTGCCGACAGGCTACCTGAGTTTTATGGAAATAAGTCTTAGAAAATGACAGTATAATCCGCGTGAAGCCTAAGGCCCAACAACCTAAGCCATTTAAATTCGAAGATCATTATTAGTGAACTCGAACCTGTGACACAAGAACGTAGTAGGAACTATTTGATCGAACATACATTCAACAGAATTAAACCAGAATCACTGATGAAGGTATGAAGACCGCACAATATGTATGATCTTGGTACAGGGGTACCAAACTTATAAGAACTATAAGTTAGCAATATAGCACGAGGTGATAGATATAATAAAGAACAATAAGGATATAGCAGATGACGATGTGGTTGTGAATATATGTACAGTGCAGTAGTAAAAACACAATGCGATGAGAAAAATAGGTTTATGAGCGATCGACCCATGGTTCTGTAGCGAGTCGTATAGGGATAACGCGTTGAAGTGAAAGGTCAGGTCGCAATTGACCAGGAGGCAGTAGTAAGGACAGCACAATGTAGTCCTAGAATCACTTTATGAGTTCGAATTCAGATTGTTTAGAGAGACACCAGCTCACCGAAGTGCTAATCTGGCCGGTATTGAAACCAGTGTTCAACACGGGAACGTCACACTGAAGGTTGCCATTCCAACTCCATGTCACAGGTTCTTCTGATTCTGAAATTAGGACTTTGGAGGTGGGTGATGATTGCAGCGTCATCTGTCCGCGACCAAGAACTTGGTCGTGACTGAATGACGTGCCTTGAATGTTGACGGTAGTCTGCCGTAGTATAAACACGTTTAAGACTTCTTTTATTTCCGAGGGATTTTCGTGAGGAAGGAAGAGCTTCGCAAGACTATGCAAGAAGACCGGTGAAGTCTCTAGTCGCAAATGGAAAGGTATCTTTTCCGAAGCGGTGAACACACGGACAGACGGAAAGAATAACTTGGAACAAACTAGCATCAGTTTCTGAATGATCGATCGCGACGACATCAACCTACATGACAACGTGCTAAGAATGCATCGTTTCCTGTACCAACGGTCGGCTTTGTAATCCAAACATCCTCCATCCAATCCTCAGGAGATTGTTTCACCTCGCTGAAGGAATCTGGGACTGGCCTTGATGGCCGTACTCGGGGGCGGTACCTGATGTGTATGTTCATGTATGCCTCCCTGATGATGATGGTTTCAGTTTCGAGATGCATTCAGATCTGCTGCGCACTCGCCTCGAAAGCTTCTTTCCAATCATTGGAACATTTCTCGACTTTGTGACAATGATCTGCAGTGTGTACACTATGGCCACGCGTTGCGGTTTCGGTAACTCAAAGGATGGCGGCAAACGGAAAGGACGATCCTGGCCACGCTCTCGATAGGAGGTTGGAAAAGACATCGATAATGGCATGATGCTGGGACAAGTTTGTCCATTCAGAGTAGAGCTCTCCCACAGGGTCCGCTCCTTTGAAATGATAGTAACCCCCTTGGATGGTTGCCCTGAAAGGTAAATACGACCTTCAAGCTAATGGGTGATATTAGAAATGACGTAGTGGAACACCGAACACGACAGATCCCACATACCTTTGCTGCAACAGCTACAACTCTCCGGCGATTATCAAGTGCAACTTCTCCTCGGATAGTACTCCCCAGACCATATGATGGATGGCGATCCTCTTCACGACAGTCCATCAATTTGAGGGTCATCCCTCTTTGCCGGTAAGTGAATGATGCATTGTCCCCACGTTGGATCAAGCGAGGCGATCTTTGTATGCACTTCTCTCCAGGAAGTAGTTTGGAAGAGTAGTCAGGTGCAGGCTTCGATGGTGTATACTCCGGCAGCAGCTGAACGGAGAATGTTGCCATATGTGAAGAAGAGATGTGGGACACTTGGAGGCTGAACGGATGGATACCCATGATGGATAACAGCTTTATACCCATGTCACGGTGAAACCAGTGGTGTTGACAGTTGCATCATTTTCGGACAAAACGTGGATCCGGGAGCAGCGCCGTTCAGCGGCTACCGTGATGCGAAAAAAGGACAGGTGCTTTTGCATCAGGATCGAGTTGAATGCATGGCGGTGGCCGGCGAGATCGCCGTAACAACGCCATCCTGTGTTTCTTGCTATGCTTGGTCAACGTAAGGGAATGCGTGAACAACGCAATGACAATAATCAAATGATCATGATGTAAACCTTGGCGCAGTGTTGGCGCAGTGTGACCTATCTTAGGCACACCCGGCGGACGGCTCATGAGTCTGACAGGACTCAAAGAAAACCCTTTCCCAACACTGAGGCAAAAGCTCCCATTGGTAGCGAGGCATCAATGCTGTTCTCAGAGTCGAAACGCTGCAAAGCTGCAGATGGATCAGCAATATTCTAATGACGGGGCGCGTATCCTGAATACCGAGCCAGGCGCCAGGCTTTCAGGGCAGTACTAGTGCCTTGCTTGAGCTGATGCGGCGACTGCCCTGCAGCGGTTCAGTGATGGGCGCAGGAGCAGTGCACCTTAACGTAGTAAAATTCTATTTTTAGAACTCCACTGGCCGAAGACCGAGGGACGTAAGCAAGTTGGCTTTGGGTACAGTTCAGACTGTTCTACTAGTACTAGTATTTTTCATGGTAGATACAATGTAATATTTGAAAAGAGAGTATCATGATATTTTGGTTTGTGCAGCAATTATAGTAAAACGGTCTCCAAGCGGCTTTCAACGGCTGCCGGAGCCGTAATAATGCAGTGCTGCTTAGAGCGGAACCTGACTAGTACTAATAGTAGGAAGTATAAGCTAGACAAATTAGTAAACGGGCTAGGAGCTTAGTAAGAATGTAAACTTACTATGTATAAAAGCTCGACCAATCATATAAACAATAGATCTGGAATATAATAGAGTAGAGTATGCGGAAGAGAGCCGTGCTCAGTGGCTTGGTCTTGTAAAAAACTGGGTCCTAGCCATACTACCAAGTCACTGCGTGATCCGACCATGGGTCTGTCACTAGACGAATCGGATGAAGGTGTTTTGATGCAAGAAGCGGGCACTTGAGTGGCTGCAGAGGTTCCAGGGAGAGCACAATGAAATCCTAAACATAATGTCAACAGGGAAATCATAGGAATCATGGTTCAAGACTCACTCTAACTGAGAGCGGGTTTGTTGCGAAGCTTCCGATGGTGACTTCTTCGGTATATTGCAGTTCCCCATCCCAGTCCAGACAGTCAATGCCCTTCCCAAGGGGAACGTTGCGATATGAGTGATGGTTGTCGGGTAGAGGTGAGGAGCATGTCAATTTGCCTTCTCCTATTATTCGATTGCTCGATTTTTGTTCTTCGAAGATTTTGACAACTACTTGGCGGAGTATGTATACGCGGATGGAGATTTCCTCTGAGGAGAGCACAGGAAGGCCATGATTAGGTGCAGACTTGTCAATGAATGGAGCTAATGAACTCGATGGAGCACGCAATTGGAGGTGGAACGGTATGGTCTCAGATAATGGATAAACCTGTGATGAAGGAATAAAGAGCTACCACAGCAGTTAGGAAAATGACAAAAACCACAATTTGAAAGACTTACAAGACATTGTACCGGCGTGAGCCTGGAACTCTGTGTTGCATTCATGGTAGAGAGTACTTGGTGCCATTCTTCAGGGGAGCTCTTCACCGTGGTCATGAACGGCACGTCGCTCGGAAGCATGGGTGTGTGTGGGCGAGAACGCGGATGATAGCATACGGGTACCACGAGGCTGTAGATTGTCCAATCAGAAAATGTGAAATTTAAACACTGCTATTCATGCTCACCAATCACTAGAGCGGAAAGATGATAAAAATCGTCGAGGTCTTGAGATTACGACGCTAAGAGTGTAGGTGCACGTCGCTAATTTGTGCTCGAATGAGGGGGGTAAAGGCTGCGGTTTACATCTATCCATGAAAGTAGAAGGAAAGAATATTGTAAATGGTAGGGTCATAGGACATGGCTCAGTGGACGAAGAGCTCCACAAAGAATACGAATCAGATGCAACCAATGTGGTGATGGCTGCCCCTGATGTCTCAAGACGAAGGTGGCCCTCGAGCTATTGGGAAAATACTAAGATAAATGCTAATTTGAAGAACGATGTAAACTCTACCTTCAAGGTGACCTCTACGAGGCCTTCTGAACTTCGCAAAGATATGTGACCTCGAACGAGTCCATTTCTTCCGTAAACAGGCGTTATGCTCCCCGGTTGCTGATCTTTTAAAACAAGTGTGGTGCTGTCTGTTATTCTACGAAAGACTCCGGTATTCAAAGCTTGCGGAGACCGTCGTCGAGTCTCCTCAACCGTTTGTTCCCCTGGGAGAAGCTGTGTCGAGTATGACGGTGATGGTGGGGAAGGAGAGTATGACGGCGAAGGTGGGGAAGGAGTATATGAAGGGGGAATAGACTCCATTTTGATCTCGAGGTATGAGGCGTTGGATCTCTTACACACCTCGGTCAATGGTGTTTATAGCAACCCAAGTATCCATTTCAGCGTACACACGAGTCATCCTGGAGTCAAGGGGAAACATGATACACAGACCGGCACCGCAATCTTGTAAAGATTGTTGTCTAGTCTAGTTAGCGTTTGATGCAGACTGACTCAGATCTGCTAACGCGTTAACGATCATGATGATTCTCACGTGTGATGATGGTTGTGAATAAGGCTGTGCTATCGGCATTCAAAGATTCAGGCATTCTTCGTGGGTATCGAAGTTTAAGTTGCTGCAATACAGGCCCAAATGGCATAAGCCATGCATCGCAATACAGCAATAAAGGAGCATGAGAACCTGGCATCATATATCTGGATCCAACTTTTCTTCCCTAGGAAGAATGGGACCAAGATCAACGACAGTATAGAAGGTGAATGTCTTCACTTCCGGGGTCTTCGCAACTGTGCGGGAAGGCGTCCCCGCACCATCCTCCGAGGGAAGTGGATCATCCGATCGATAGGTGTAAGAAACAAGCATATTAAACTGTACACCGATAAACTGAGTACGAGTCAAGGGTTCACTGATGCTTCTGTACATACCTTTACGTGGCCCCGGGCCTCTTTTCCGATGACAACCTCACCCCCCACAACCGTAACATTAGCCCTCTTTTCCAAAACTCCTACAGTCTTGACTTTCCCTTTCCCATCTTTGTCTCGGGTTCGACCCATCTCCAAACCAAGCTCATCGTCTTCGAGCCCGAACATATCGTCGTCGTCATCATATTCCCATGCTTCAGCAAATGCAGCGACAGGGAATGAAGAGGTTGGCAGAGATACTGCGAAGGGTGTCCTGCGAGCCTTCTCCGGTGCAGTACTGTTAGTTGCTGCAGTGACATGCATTCGCTGCACTGAAAGTCGAACTTGAATGGGATCATAGAGGGGATTTGTCAAAGCGAGGTGGAAGGGATACGATTTTCCGGCCATCATAGCACCAGCATTCCGGTCATCCGAGGCACTGGGTACCTTAGCCTGCGGACGCCTAGTGGCGTCGGCCCCTTGAGTGTGCGGAAGGGCCACAGTCATCGCTGGCAAATAATTAGCCGCTACAAGCTTGATCTTGTATCGCACAGATTGCGCTTTCTGCTCTGGTTTGATGAGGATGTGCCTGCAACTTGGGCATCGCTTCGAGACTTTGGAATGGAGTGGTATCCGCAGAGGTCGTAGATCGCTGATCAGTTCACTCCAAGTTTAGTATCTTCTCCCACACATGCCCAAAATGCACGCACCTTGTTCTAAGCGAGGTGGTCCAGCTGTTTCCCCACCTTTGCTCAAGTGACGCAATTTCCTCCGCACTTTCCATGCGCCGAAGTGCCTCGACATCCGAACTATCTCCCTCAGACCCCAGCTGACCAAGAACACCGATCTCCATTCTACTTTTGTACTCCGGCATTTCGTCCTTATTTGCCGTCCTGTCCCGGCCCACACGACTGCGAGCGAGAGGGTTGTATTTCCCAACACCGGGAACATCACGCGCAAGCGCAGCGGAAGCAGCGGCTGTAGCAGATGAAGTAGGAAGATGATGAGAAGAAGTACTCGGAACATGTGACAAAGAAGAAAGAGATGATGTACGGAGGAAAGGTTCAAAATGCTCCTTCAGTCGCTCAAACTCCAGGGATTCGGGCGCAGAGTCTTCAAATTTCTGCAGCTGTGCTATCAGATAGATGATTAGATGTAAACTGATGTGTAGAGGGAGCAGCGCACCGGCAAGTCCAGTTGGTTTTTCAAATGTTATCCCAACTTCGGCAGAGTCCCATCTGCAGTGGTTACAATAAAGAAAGAAGGGAGGCTCTCCAACGTTACTTAAAGACACGGAAGGCCTACCATCGCCGCCATCAGGGGGGTCAGAGGCGACTACTTGCAAGGTTGACCGGCATATAGGACATGAAAAACAATTTCGAGCACATCTATTACTTGTGAGCAACAGTCATAGCAAGAGGATAACATAAGTTTACCTGTTCTTTTCCGCGCGAACGCTTGCACTTGGGACTTCGAAAAGACAATTTGGACAATAGTAGCCACTGACTTCGACGGAAACGCAGCGATTGCACCGAACAGCGTCACATTCCTCGCAAAAGAACAAACTATGCAAAGGGTGGAAACTAGCCGAGGAAGACGCCATATGCGGAGGCGGAGGCGTCTGAACTGACTCTCCAGATTGGCATGGACAATAGTAATGGATTGTTGGCGCCATCAATGTCTACGTTCTTGTCAACAGCAACGTAAATGCACATCAGCGAGGACAAATTTCGGTACAGAGTGAGATGCACTTTCGGAGCAATCGAAAGGTGTTGAACTTGTACCTTGATGACCGGGCCAGGAAGACAGAATGTGGATTACGGTAGAAAAGATAATAATTAACTAACTATTACCGGGCGAACCTTACTAGGCTAGACTCTTGGACTAGGTTTTGATGTTCTGACTACAAGAACAGACTGGAATGGTTACTCTCTCGATGTAAGCCACCATTATGAGAGGTATTCAACAATGGACATCAATTCATAAAAGTAGGTGACTTGTCAGTCGATTGTTCATGTCAGTCATCGTATATAAGTATGCCGTGCAGTGATAAGTAGTGTCCAGATGGAGAAAGCCTAGCGCATAACCAAAATGGTATCACAGGAAAATGAGGCAGTACAAGACCCCAAGCCCGCTCGGGCCAGGTACATTCAGTAGTGTGCATCCCAAGCACTTCTGTATTCAGGAACGTGAACTGGGTTCGCATTAGGCGCCAAATGCATATCATATGCTCCTTGCGGCGAGGGGTCGTAGAGTGGACGGTAGCTCTGGGGTGCGTAAGGAACCCACGTAGCTTGCGTAGAAGAAACGCGCTGCAAGCGACGGCGACGGCAGCAATAGTATACGCAGATGCCCAGAAGAAAAACCGAAATAACAGCGCCGAAAATAATACCAATCACCCATGGTGACAGCCTGGCGTTTGATGTCGTGGTCGTGGTGGTCGTAGTCGAGGTCGAGGTCGTGGAAGAATGTGAGGCCAGCGAAGCGAGGTCATCGACATTTGAGCCATTGGCCAAGCGCACTCGTGCAAAATCCGCAGAGGCATTGACAGCATTAGTGATTGGCAACAATTGTATGTACGGGGCATTGGTGCCAGGAGGTGCCCCGTCGACAAAAGAACCGAAATCAATCAGAAGGTATGCATTGCGCACTGTTCGATTTTAGAACCTGAACGTCCTAGAATAGTAGGTATCTAGACTCACAAAAGGCCATGCCGAGGACCATATCGTACATCACCACGCCATCCTCCGTATCATCGTACGAGAATGGTTGGAACTTGTTAAGACAATTATAAAGCTGGCAACAATCAAGGGTTCATAGACTCACAGCTCCAACACATTGGTTCTCGCCCATATCAAAGTTGAGATCAAGTGGGTGAATAGGGAATTTGATTCCAGCGAACAAAAATGTGGCATTAAGCTCTTGGTCGCAGGGCAATGCCCAGATTTCTCCTAAACCCGCGATGTTCGTTAAAGAGGCGCCGGGAACGTTACCATAGAGCGCCTCGGCAACGTGACTGTCATGATGTATCAGAGTAGATGAGGGTTTTTTTTACGAAGAACTTACGAAGAAACTTGGGGGAACGTGAAACCTGTATCAAAGACGACAGTCGCGTTATTAGGATAGGGTGTATCAGTGACTTGAGTCTTGATGGTAATAGGTTTGCCATCTGGACCGATGATCCCATTTTCGTCAAGTAATGTCATCCAATGCTGATTCCCGGGCACCATGACCGACGTGACTGGGTGTTGAGGTTGTGTCTGAATATCCTCATATTCAGTCAAGACTTCTCCGATAGCAAGGTCGCCTGGATAAGGTTCGTCAGGGTCGTCAGAGCGATCGAGAAGAATAGCGACGAAGTTCGATATGGTGTCGTTAGAGCGGAAGATTCGGTCGAGAGGAGGGTCTGCAGCCGCTGTCCCACCGATGAATCTAATCACAGAGCCTGTGTATGGCCCAAGGCCGACGAGACCATCGACGGATTGTGTAAATCCATCCGTCGAGTTAGCAAATACTTTGTATCGATTAGCAGATATGATAGCGGATAGGATGCATAACGCACTGAAATATTGGGCGTCAATCTGATACCCGGCGAATTCCATCGTGGCTGATAAGACTTCCCCTTGAGGTAACGGAAATGAACAACGGCATCCCATTAATATTGTAAGAAATAACTCACCAGCAGCACCTCCAGAGGCATAGCCAATTTCAGCCTGGTAGTGCTCGTCAACAGCACCAGGAACCTGAGATGTTACAAAGAGATCTGAGCTGAAGGCAATAGCAATGTCAGGCTTTTGAGTTGCAAAAACATCGCTTGAGAGTGGTTGACTTTCCTGCCGGTATCGATCAGAACACCGAGCAATTGTCCATTCAAGGTGATGTTTGTCATGTACTGGATATTCTGGTCATCTTCCACAGTGCTTTCGAGGCCGCTGATGCTTGTCCTTCTCTGAAGCTTGGACCTAGAAATTCCAGTCTTGCCATGCAGTTCAAGGTGAACCCCGTTTGCGGTGTTCAAGATGACTAAAAAGCCAAGGAGCAAAAACGACCTCATAGCACTGGAAAGGACTGAAGAGAAAAGAAATAAACCGAGATGCTGAGCCTTCAGGGTTATATGGGGGTCGGCTGCATGTTTTACGTTGACAGCACAGCCTGAGCTTCATGAATTGATCAGACGGGCGTTCAGAATCCACGTGTTGCCTGCAGTGCTTAGGGCTCACCATCTTCGACCGGATTACTTCATTGGTTGTCGTGCATGTTCTGTCACGAGTTACAGACACCTGCTAAGAAGGAAAACCCATTTCCATTCGTCTATAGGGAGACTAGGCGGCAGCATCCAGATTGGATGGTCTATTACTTGTACAATCTAATAATGCATTGTCACTCAGCACTACCCTATAGGGCACATAAGGAGGTCACTCACAATCATGAATTTCATTCCAGTACAATCCAGTAGATAATCAGGCCATTTCCAAGGCGATTCCAGAGCACGCTGATCTGATAGAACGTTACGTGGAGAAGGGAAGATAGGCTTGATATGAGAGCCTAGTAAAATTGCTGTGCAACGGTTGATGGTTTGATCCCCAATTGATCCCACACAAGATTTAATTTCATTACATCAAGTTACATACGTTCTCGTTTCCATCCTCCTCCACGCCGTGCAGGCTAACATATTATTAACGCTTTGGTGGCGTCATGATGCACTCCTTCATCACACTTTCTTTTGTTTCTTCGTTGTGTTCGACGATTTCTGTCCTTGCTCTCCGAATCCCTTTCGATGTCCACGTTCAAACTCCTGCTAACAACCCAACCACCCATTTCTCTCGTCAATCATCTTCCAATGGCATAGTACCTGTCGGGAACACGCAAAACTCTTTCTACTACACAAATATCATGCTTGGTGGTCAAAACATATCCGTGATGCTGGATACGGGAAGGTAATACAAATTTCACAGCAATTGCGGGTATTTGTTTATTTGCCCGTTTACAGCTCTGATCTATGGGTGACCGGCTCCATACCTGGAGCAACAGACACAGGTAGCTCTCTGAAACTTTCATACGCCGTTGGAACAGCTGCTGGTCAGTCGCTCAAAGTTATAGCTCTCACGATTCATTACGCCCACAGCCAGGCGACATCTATACTGCACCTTTTGAATTTGCTGGGCAATCTGTCAGCGACCAGGCATTCCGTCAGTGTCCTTTTTTGTATGACCGCTTCGGTTTCTGACATCCGGTACAGTCCTTGTTGCAAATGTATCATCTTTCTCCACAAATATTCATTCGGAAGGGTATGACGGTCTCATCGGCCTTGGCCCAAATTCTGGTTCCTCGATATACAAGAAACTCGACGGAAATTCGGGGAATAACCCGATGAACAGAATTTTCGAACAAACATCGTCAAATGACTACATAACTATGATGCTCAGTCGCAAAGGAGACCCAGGGAGTAATATCACTGGCCAGTTCACCATCGGAGAACTCGTTCCAGGATTCGAGAATATTACCAGCATGCCACATTTGTCGATTGAGAAGGTTTACAGAGTGACTAATGTTGACCAGCATTGGCAGATTGTAACAGACAAGAATAATGGCATCATTGGGCCTGACGGACAGCCGATAAAATATTCATCGATTGCCCCAAAAGCTCCTGACGGCACAATAGTGGGAGTTTTAGACTCTGGCTTCACTCTGCCTCAAGTGCCTCGAACGGTGTCGGACGCCATTTATGGGCGTGTACAGGGTGCCGAATGGTCGGTTGCAAACGAAGCTTGGCTAGTCCCTTGCGAGCAACTTATTAATGTTACCTTCAATTTTGGGGGCGTTTCATATCCTATTCACCCACTCGATGTATCATCGAGTGACTTTGGGGTGATCTTCTCGAATGGAAACCCCGCTTGCCTGGGAACGGTATGTGACAGTTCTGCATAACACGAAGTTGTTTTAAATCTGGACCTTCCAAATAGTTCCAACCAGTCACTTCTGCATTTAGTCTTCTTGGAGAGTATGATATGATTTTGGGAATGGCTTTCCGTAGGTTGTCGACCTGTTCTGACAGTACTTGTTTGACACATTCGCAGTGCGGAACACATACACCCTGATTAATTATGGAAATTTCATCACCGGCGGCTCAAATTCCAATAATCCCTACGTCCAATTGCTCCCGCTCACGAACATCGAATCTGCTGTCAACGACTTCATTCAGGTCCGGCTGAACGGGCAAAACACAATTAACTCTTCTCAATACGCCCTACTTCCTGCATCACAGGAACAACATTCGCCTGAGAGCGCTGCGGAGAAAAAGCAAGCATACGAAGAACTGGTTCTAAGTCGTTGGCCTTATATCGTTGTTGGAGGCCTGGTGCTCTTGATTCTCCTCATAAGCTATTGCGTGTGGCGTTGTTGCTGTCGCCGCAAGCGGATGGCAAAGAGAGCTGCCAAGAAGGCTGCACAACAGAATGGGGGGGCTGCTTCTGTGGACGGTTTTAAGAGCGGTCCCTATGCGCAGTTGCATGACTCCCAGAGTACGGCGAGTCTTGTTATGCAACCGATGCGTGGGTCGACCGTCGATTTTGAGGAGGACTATGGTGGAAAGGATGCATTCACAAGAAGTCGATGATATTTGCCAAACGAACTATATGTAGTCTAATAGATTTAGTCTACTTCAGCTGCAGGACACTAATAGTAGCTGGCTACTTCTGTTCATTGTCTGTATTCGTAACTTTGACAATGTTCAGATCTCAAATATATCCAATAGCAGGGCCATTTCATGAAACTGTCATTATAGTATGTACACGCAAGCCTGTCTTATGACGATATGTATGCTACAACTTGAGATCTAGAATGCCCATTCCAAACCATCCCATTCGTTAAAATGCATCTCGGAATCATTATGCAATCGACAGAATGCTTCGTAACCAATACTCAGCACCCCTGAGCACGCAATTGCCACTAGTACTGGTGGTGCTAGCGCCCATATATATGACATGAGCCAGGCCCACAGTCATTGCCACTGAAAGGAGGCCACCGAAAGAAACTAATATTGGGTCATATAGTGCCTTAGCCTGTTTCGGCACTGAGACAGCTGGCTGCTGTGGTTCCTGAATTCGCCCCTCCCCTGACAGTAGATCGAAGATACTGGCATTCAGCTTGAAGGCCTTGTTGGCCTCTTCCAATACGGCCGCTGGCGAATCAAAGTTCAGAAAACGAAAGTAACCCAAAGACGATGTATAAACCTTTCAATGTGGTATCATCACCAATACCAGCGTTCAGTCCATCTCTGTACCATTCCTTGATTTTCTTGAGATCCCCCATATTCGCAGATTCACTGCTGTCCAATTTCTTGAAATCGTAAAATTGTATACCATCTCCTCGATCCGCATCTAGGTCATATGCCTTGGCTATACGTCGCCGTATGAATTGGCCGCCACTCATGTCACCGAGATAGCGGACGTAAGCATGTGCAAGTAAACATGTGGGATCTGAAGACTCAGAAAGCTCTCGGAGGCGCGTGGTATATTCCACAAAAGGCTTGGGAGGTGACGCCATCAACGAGCTGTGCGATGGGTGCGTCTGCCATTCTGCTTCAGGGACCCCAAGTAAATGTGATATGTCTTGAGAGAGACTCGGAGTGCGGGCAAGCAATGTAGGGTTATACGTTGGTTGTAGCGTTGGGTATGACGCGTGCGTCTCTAGACCTCGCTCAAGTTCGCTGAGTGTGAGTCAACACATAGTATGAAACGTGACTGGAATGAAGCTTACGCGTATACGTGCCACAGCATCATCAAGAAATACACGTATTCTTGCTTGTCCAGCTCACCCTTTGCGAGCCGGACGCCGCCTTGACTATGCTCTGCGGATTCATGAGCCTTGGACGTACCAGCCCGAAGCAACGACGCCATTGGAAGTGAAAAATCGTAGTCATTGTTGACCTCCATTGCTATCAAAATGGTAGAATAGTGAGAAAGGTTCACGCGGTCCAGATGGAGGTCGCCTTAAAGAAGTAGTATATATACATGGTGTCAGATCTAAGTGGCGAGTGGCTGAAGCAGAGTACAAGACCCGAAAGGATTAGATATTGATACTGTAGAACACCGCAAAGAGGTCCGAAGTGAGGCGCGAGTTGTGCCCTTTGTCTCAGAATGAGTTATCTGCCCGTAAGAAGCACTACATCCTTGGTCCGCCAAATATAGGGACTTTATCGCGGGGGTTACGAGGACCTGGAGATGACTCGAAGGTCGTGTGGCGGCGCCTAGTCAGAGGAATACAGTAAAGGCCTAATAGCAATCTCAGCGCACCGTGGTAGAAGGGCCAAAATGGACAGAATTTCGGGATTATTATAGTTACGTGCTGCGCGTTTAATTTTGATTGGCGCTTACATAATTCATCAAGTCTGGGCGTATACCAAGTCCGTTTTACTATCAACTGCCCGTTGGCACATGAGTCAATCTGCATCAAACCTCCGCCACAGCCCACCTAGCTAGACAACTATCTTTACAAGACAATGACTGCGGTCCCGGACTGTGCAGTATGTGGATGACTTTTGAACCAGGATGACGCGTACATGAGTCAACGCCGAGATTGACTCTTGCGCTGTTATAAACACCATTGACAGAGCCATGAAAGAGATTCAACGCCTCATACCTCAAGATCAAAATGGAGTCTATTCCCCCTTCATATACTCCTTCCCCACCATCGCCGTCATACTCGACACAGCTTCTCCCAGGGGAGCAAACGGTTGAGGAGACTCGACGACGGTCTCTACAAACTCAGAACATCGGAGTCTTTCGTAGAATAACAGACAGCATCACACTTGTTTTAAAAGATCAACCGCTAGGGAGCATAACGCCTGTTTACGGAAGAAATGGACGCGTTCGAGGTCACATATTTTTGCGAAGTTCAGAAGGCCTCGTAGAGGTCACCTTGAAGGTAGAGTTTACATCTTTCTTCAAATTAACATTTATCTTATTTTCCCCAATAGCTCGAGGGTCATCTTCGTCTTGAGACATCAGGGGCAGCCATCACCACATTGGTTGTATCTGAATCGTATTCTTTGTGGAGTTCTTCGTCCACTGCCGGTAGTCCTTGTCCTAGGAACCTACCGTTTGCAATATCCTGTCCTTCTATTTTCATGGATGGATGTCAACCGCAACCTTTACCCCCCTCATTTGAGAACAAATTTGCGACGTGCTCTTACACTCTCAGCGTCGTAGTCTCAAGGCCTCGGCGATTCTTATCTTCTAATGATTCGTGAGTACGAGTAGCAGTGTTCAAAATTCACATTCCCTGATTCCACAATTTACAGCCTCGTGGTACCCGTATGCTATCATCCACGTTCTCGCCCACACACATCCATGCTTCCGAGCGACGTGCCGTTCATGACCACGGTGAAGAGCTCCCCCGAAGAATGGCATCAAGTACTCTCCACCATGAATGCAACACAGAGTTCTAGGCTCGCGCCGGTACAATGTCTTGTAAGTCTTTCAGATTGTGGTGTCCTCATGTTTCTAACTGCTGTGATAGCTCTTTATTCCTTCAGTACAGGTCTATCCATTTTCTGAGACCATACCGTTCCACCTCCAATTGCGTGCCCCATCGAGTTCACTAGCTCCATTCTTGGACAAATTTGCACCTGATCACAGCCTTCCTGTGCTCCCCTCAGGAAAAATCAACATCCGCGTCTACTTACTCCGCCAAGTAGTTGTCAAAGTCTTCGAAAAACAAAAGGTGTCCAAACGAATAATAGGAGAAGGCAAATTGACATACTCCTCACCTCTACCCGACAATCATCACTCATATCGCAACGTTCCTCTTGGGGAGGGCATTGACTGCTTGGACTGGGATGGGGAACTGCGATGTACCGAAGATGTCACGGTCGGAAGCTTCGCAACAAACCCGCTTTCGGTTAAAGTGAGACTTGAGCCATGGTCCTTATGATTTCCCTGTTGACATTATGTTTAGGATTTTATTGTGCTCTCCCTGGAACCCCTGCAGCCACTCAAATGCCCACTTCTTGCGTCAAAATACTTCCATCCGATTCGTCTGGTGACAGACCCATGGTCGGATCACGCAGTGACTTGGTAGCATGGCTGGGACCGATTATTTACAAGATCAGCCCGCTGCGCACGGCTCTCTTCCGCATAGTCTATTATCTATTATTTATACGTAGTAAGTTCACATTCCCACTAAGTTCCTGGCCTGTTTACTAATCTATCTATTAATGACTAGCTTATATCTCCTGGTCAGGTTATTGGTTCTCTAAGCAGTATTGCATTATTACCCGGGAGTCGTTGGGAGACCGTCTTACTATATTTGCTGCAATGGCGGAACATTTGTCACCAACCAAAAGAGCATTCTTTTCAAGTATTATCATGCAGAATAGAACTGTCTGAATTGTACCTGGTTTGAAGTGTGGCTGACTTGGACCACACTCGAGCAGCCTCGAATGGTATATTCATACCCCTTGTTGAGAGGCAGCAATGCTTGCATAGCATACATGTGTCCATTGGGCAGGCCGCAGTATAATCGGAAGCTAGTTTCAAGTCCAAGGCTCGAGAGAAGGGCCAGACTGATACGAAGAATTATACAAATAATTCGGAGATGAATTTACAACCGCCATCGCAACGGGGCACTACATGATAGTGACTTAGCTAAGGTTGTACCAACTAGTGCCTGGATATAAGCAGACTCATAACTTTACGGTCGAGTACCAGGATACTGCGGCCTGCCATTGCTTTCTCAAGAGGCTAGTGGCGGCGAATGTAGCAGTTCAGTGGATCTACTAGTACAGTGCGTAAGCGATACTAGTAGCATGCGATTTGATACTGAGCGCTGAGCTTCTGAGCCCTCATATACATATCCATGGCCTCGAAATGTAAGGGCCCAGTCTCAATCTCGTTGGAGTGGGGTACTCCTCCAGCGGGGGGTGGCAGGTGGGTGTTTGCGTAGCTTAGTCAGTAGGGGTAGGGCGTTGTCGTAGGTACTAGCATGATCATCCACACCAGCTTCCGTCTACCAGAGGCAGGCACATTGCCAGCCGCGCCAGTCCATCGTTCTTAATGATACATATATGCTACAACATTCTTGAACCCTCAAAATCCGGTAAGCTCCCAGCCAACCACTTCCATCCATGTGAATATTCCTTAGAATCATCAAATCGGGCGACAGCAATTGTTATCCTTTCAAAATTAGCAGTCAAAACTCTGCGAAAATCTTTCGGGGTACGTTAGTTGAATTGTCAAGCATGCAGACAGCGCTCACATGAGAAGCCCTGAGAACCGACGGCGAAGTCGGCATAGACATCGATCTGGTACGTCGACGTCGAGAGGGAACGGCGTTGTTTGAATTTGAAGCAGCCATAGATTCCTCTGTATCGTTCGTACTACCAGATGTGCCTCCGTCGGTGTCGTGCATAGTATGAGATGAATCAGAGTAGTCGGTGCATACTGCCCTGCACTTTGATTCAACACTTGAATCTATCGATTGCTTTGCAGAGGATGGCACCGCCACAGACGTCGCCGATGTTTGTGTCTTAAGTTCCACAATACCATTCTCTGCTCAAGCCCCGTTCTTCAGTGAGTAATTCACGTGAATGGTACTAGATCAGAAACTTACCAGAAGTCCAGGCCTCAGTCTCATGGGCCAGCTTGCAATGTTTGCCGTTGGGGCAGTAGCCTGCTGCGAATGCCTTGCAAGGTAGTCCTGTGGGACATGTGTCAATAAAATAATTGCTACCGACTATGGAGCACATACTATACCCACCCATCATTACACCACCACCAATCACTCGCCAGGTAATAGGATAATAATCGTGTGCCTTGAGCTCTTCCTGAGGTGAATGCGGTTTCGGAGGCAAGTGAGATGACGCTATCTCACGGGCCTGATTATTGGCTTTTCTTGCCCGTTTAATTTTCTCTACATCATGAAAACTGTGATGGCTTTATCAAAAAAAAGATATTACATCAAGAGAGCACGTACAACCTGCATTTATTGCCCTTAGGACAGGTTTTGCGTGCTGAGAAGAATTTGCAAGGTTTAGCTGTTTTGTAATGATGAGCAACCAACCATGGCGGAAAGTAGCTATCGGAAAAACTCACTCCTATATAGGGTTTGCTTCTCCTTCGCCTGCTCTGCTTTTCTGCAGGTGGCGGCTCGAGGTTTCAAACCAGTTAGAGTATATCCTCGATCGTAACCAGGGTATGCCACATTGCCACAGCGTGTTCCCGCGTTGTTGGGATATTGTAAGCTTGGTGACGATTGTGAGAACGCAGAAGGAAGATATTCTGAAGAGACGGGTTCTTCGATGGTCATGACTTGGAATGCGGCATTCAAACTCTGATCAGACGGGCTGGAGTTCGAAGACACATCGCTGGAATTGTCAAAGGCGCCTCTCGTGTCGAAGCGGTATGGTTCCACATGCGGGGCTACTGTGTATGTGGCATGCGCTGTGTAGCCATGGCTATGGCCGATGTCTTGGTCCCACCCCTTGAGTGGTGTTCTCGTGTGTACCTCGTGTCTGCTGTGGTAAGTATACACTAATGGCGGGACTCCTTTGGGATCCTTGTATATAAGCCTGTGGGAGACGGACCAAACACTGGAGACACCATACCTTGTGGCACACTCTCCGGTAGCGAATGCACAAAATGGCATGTTGAACCACGTCGACAATGTCCGGCGGCGTAGTAGCGACATATTCTCGTGTGCACGGCTTGTTCATAAGAATAAGCATTCTCTGATGGCGGGGTTTCTGCGATGTAAGTCCGCGGGAGACGAAGCAAACATAGAGACATCATGCCTTGTGGGACACTCTCTGGTTGCATATGCACAAAACGGCACGCTGATGCACGCCGACAACTTCCGGTTGCATAGTAGCGACAAAGTGTCGACGACTGTAAATGCATTTTCTTCTCCTTAGCTGGTATGTAAGGAAATCGCACTTCTGCGTCACTGCCTGGGCCACTGTCGGCACTGATGCAAGCGCCAAATTGTCTGACGTATACTCACCGAAGTTAAAGGTGATGCGGGAAGCCTTGGCCATTTAGATAGAAAGATAAAGAGAAAACACTGTGTTTGTTAAGGAAGATGAGATGCAACGGCGCCTAAGTCTGGTTATTATCAGAGTCTACAAGAGGGTCCGCTATTCACGATCCCTCCAATAAAGACACAAGTGACGACCAAGTGAGACAAAGATGCTCATAAACCGCGACTTTTCAGTTGCGAACTTGAATCGCGCACAATGGTTAAATCCGAAACCGGCTTAGCCCCGGTCTGGACTCTGGTAGAAATAAAGAGGGTCATCGATGCAAAACTCACCGCCGGTGCAGTTAGCTTTCTAGCCATGTGTTCATTCTCTAAATATTATGAACTCTCTTGGCTCGAACAAACAGACTTACTAAATGGAACACGTTGAAGTGCAAAAATAACAACAATAAGAGAAAGACCCATAATGAGGCTATAGCTCCGGAGCTTGGCCCGTATATGTTCCTGTTTTGCCAATTATGCAGCTTGAAGGATATAACAAAGTGCGTCCATACGTACCTTATCTTTTTGTCCCTGGGCGCAAATGAGACTGGCGGTCATCGGACACAGTGGGTTACAAAACCACACTGTACAACAAACTACAAGCTTAAGTAAACTCAATTTGGCAACAGGTTTTAATATTGACTCCACCACGAGTACTTACGTTACTGATCAGTGATTATCGCCTCGAGTTACAGACTGGTAAGAGTACATCGGTATTATTGACGAGCACATGGTACGACAACTGAAAAACACGGTACACCGCAGTGCGCGATGCGCAGAGCAAACTAGAAGAGAACCCGAGAGGCCGCCTTATCATATATCATACAAAATAATTCAACACGATCATCATCATTTCATGTCATGAGCCGGTGCTCCCGCTGCGGTCGCGAAGCAGGGGTGTCAGTTCCGTAATGGGAGGCGTAATAACAGACGAAGATACTGCATCAGAATCAGAACCCTGTTCATTAGCAGGTGCAGCATGCGGTTTATTTGCTTGGGAAAGATGCCAGGGTCGGGTGACATCTGCTTTGCAGACAGGACACTGTGAACAAGTAAGAATCGCCATGCCCCAAATGATTTGAGACGCAATACCCTACCAATTTCTTCCGGTTGATCAACCACGAATCAACTTCCTCCAGATGGAAGATGTGATGGCACGGCAGCTCCCGGACGCAATCTCCTTTGACAAATTCCGATAAACAGATGGCACATTCCGCCTGCGACTCGCACCATGGTATCGGCGCATGGTTCAGTGCTTCATGAGATGTGGAGGGCGACGATGCACTATGATCTGAAGGACCCGACTCCAGATCAGTATCGTGTGCCCCGATTGAATGGGCTCCATGTGTCGTGGTTCCCTCATGTTTCTCCCATGCAGTGCCATTCCAGACCCGCCATGGAAAACCTTTGACAACATTTTCCGGAGCACGATCACGTTGTGCTGCACGAGCCATGCGGATGCGATGGATGAGAAGTGTGACGAATGTGAGACAAGAGGGGAGTATTAGGATGACGATGAATGTTAATATTGGGCTGAATGGTCGACTTTGAGCAGCGAACTGCGAGAGGACATCGAAACTCACGAATACCATTCCCAAGCTGAGTATTGAGTCGTGATCAAAAGTGAAAGCGTTTGTAAGCCGGCATGAGAGGTCGTAGACGAGCGTATTAACGAAGATAATTCCTTGTAATCCGACCATGTGATGTAGGTAGAAGCAATTTCGACGTCAGAAGCGTCGCCTGGAACACTTCAACTGTGGTTCGATGGTTGCATGAGAAAAGAGCGAACCTGTACTATACATATTAACAAGCATGTCTGGCTGACCGCTGATGTCGGGATCTTGGCCCCCGATGACAACGGCCTTGGCACCCAGTCTCTGTGATTCCCTGACCTAACACGATATCAGAAAATCGGGTCGAGTATTCTGGACGAGCACACTCACTTTGTCCACGAAGGAGCATTGACCTCTCTGCAGTAGCGCGATCCAAGACTCGCTTGGATCCGGTTGGTGGGGACCATATATGCATAACTTCGGGCACCCCAAATTCAAATGACGGTCTACCAGTGAGGTATCGTTGCCAGGGCATGGAGTCGTGAATGAGGACAGTGGAATGACATAACCTAAGAGTGGCTCCTTGAGTTCCCGACCAAAAGACGCAGGCCTTGAACGGAAGGTTAGAGGCGGTGACCGATCCACCACAGAAACAGAGCTCTCAGCGCCCCAAACCCAACCCCACAACCAACTGCCCTCTTGGGAGGTCGCGGATAGTTTGCGAAGGAAGCTGAATGGTTGCGCATAGACTTGAATTACAAAGAAAAGGAGCAATAAGACTAAGGACGCGCGAGCCATCATAATGCAAGCCTCCTGGGAACGGGAGGAAACACAACGACAGCGATAAGGTGGGTTCTTGAGTTAACGGAACTAGGTATATGGAAATGACATCTTGCAAAAGCTGTTATGCGTGTTTGGAGCACCTTGTTCGGAAAAGTCCGGACATATAACTCGTTTGACCAATGTGAGCCACTTACCATTGGACACCTATAACGAGCTCACTGTCGTAATGCAACGTAGTCTTCAAAGCCCGTCTGTGGTTTTGCTGTGCCTTGAACGAACGAACGGCCTACATGTGCACAACGCTTCATGACCCCCTAAAGTGCACAGATGGAGAACTCGGTTCAACCTCCTTCGTGAACACGGGTCTTTCAGCGTATGTTCTGACATCCCTTCCTGACTTTGGTCGTCTTGCATCAGCAACCCTAGCTTCAAAATTAGTCTACAGGCATCTTTCAAGAGCATCCTCATTCTATCGCTCACTCTGTAACTTTGGTCCGGTGTTCTAATGCAAAACCTGTTCCAAACCCGTTGCTGAACTTTTGGCCGAGGATGATACTCAGAAAAACACATTGCTCTCCAATGAAGATATCACGAGCCTTGTCGCCTTTTCCACTTCTGTTCAAGAACTCGAAAGGCTGTTCAGTTGGAGGTACCCTCGTCATCTTTTTGCGCCCCACCAGTCTCATTTGTTCCATCAGAATGAAAGACCGAGGATCCAACACAAATCAGTCCTCCTGCCGGAGTCGACACATTCCGGAAAGTGCTGTGCAGGTTGTCCCTTGTACTCCACCGTCTACGGTATCCATCACTCGACGGCTTCCTCTAGTTCTTTCACTCTGAAATAGAGGAAGGGGATAGTTGTCAAGTCCAAAAAGCCACGAAACCACGAAGGGGTTTCTTCCATAGTTTTTTAACTCTTGAGCTGAGAGATATTCAAAAGGTTGGAACGTTTTATTAGCTCCGATTGCTGCCGTTCATGAGTTCCTGCTCGAAGAATGGGAGCGCAAGCACCCCCATTCATACTCTGCTGGCTCGTTATGAGCGCATGTACTCAGAGGTTTAGTATCATTGCGGTCTACCACGATCCCGGCGAAATACTTGAAATGTATAAAGAGGATCTCCCTTTCATGATCTATGCGACCGGGACTCTTACCGGTACGAAGTCTGGTACAAACACCTCATTTCAGGGCCTTTAAACACTGTCCTGGCTAGTAGGAATGAACATTACCTCCTTCCCGTTGACGACAAATACCCTATAGTGGTCAATGTCAATGCGATAGTTTCAAGGGACCAGAGTTATGGGGACCAAGTAGCAAGTCAAAAAATTCACAGCCAACATATAATTAACCCTGACTATCGAAGACCGATGTATCCTCTAGGGCCTCCCGCTTGTTCGTTCAACCATTCGATTTCTAAAAGGTCGCCCTAGTCAAAACCGTACAGACGTAAGCATTTCGAAAATTGGCATTTGAGCGGCTGATTGGGAGTTGTTCGACTACAAAACACGGGCTTATGACATATGGAACAAAGAGGACTCGGGCTGGCTATGCGAATAACGCTTGGGGGAAGTTCATGAGCGACCATTTCTACCTTTTCGTACTTGAGGATGGCGGTCAAGTGTAAGCTTCTGCCCTTGCTCATTTTCGGTGTCTGTTCACCCCCTGCTTCCCAGGAGGACACATAATTCCATCAAACTGCTGGCATGGATATAACTACCGTATCCAAAAACGAAACAAAAATGACGACTAAATGTGAGTTCCTGCGAGTTGATGTAATCGGGAGCTAAATTTGGTTGCAGCAAAGGTATGAATCTATCATGAGAGATGACTCGAGAGCAACGCGAGTTTTCCTATGATTCTCGAATCATAGTGCATTCATGACATATCTCATTTAGAACAATCTGTATTCTAAGTCCGATCATTACTTGAGCCTGCAGGGTCTGCTGTGAGACCTGAAGTGCGCTGAGCTGGGCTAAGATGAGATCTGGTCAGAGGACATAATAGTACCCAACAGATCTGAAAGAGTCGGTGGTGAGGTGTATGTCGTACGAACGATCTATGTTATTGGAGTGCTCGTTTCATAGGCAGGATCCGAGACGATTTGAAGAAGTGCTATATAATAAGCCGGAAGTCGACGTAAATCGATCGAAACTTGGTACACCGGATAGTAATGGGAACAGCAGGATCATGGTATTGTGAAGCCAGAGAGATATATAGTTGTTCGACTTATAGCATAAGTAGTTGAATTCATAAGTAGACAATAAGTAATCGTAACTGCGACATAGTACATAGTGTAGCATATTCATATCACGCTCTGCGTATTCAAAGGCAAAATAAAAACATCACTAATACTCCTCGTCCGACCCCTCATCAAAGTCCGGCATGATGTCTGTCATCTCGTTCCACGCTTGACGAAGTTGGGAAACTACCTCCATCACAGATCCCCTATCACCGTTCAAGCCTGCGAACGAAACCGAGCGACGAATGACGCGTGATCGTCGGGTGTCAGTAATCTGTCTGACTTGATGGTGAACCAAGGTAGGGGGCCTTGAGCTGTCCTCCATGCGATCCAGAGGTCTTCCCCAAGCAGCTTCTTCCTCGTTTTCTTCTTCCATTTCTTGTAATATGGCTCCAGTTACTGACGACTCTCTTCGAATTTTCGTGCTCGGCGGAGCAGCCTGTTGAGTCTTTTTATGGAACATTGTGAAGATTGAATCACGAATGCCCTTGTTAAGCCCCGGTTTAGAGGGCAAGGAGCGCTTGAGGGTCCGTTGAGGCGGATCAGATTGTTGTGCGCTAACGGATTCATTTCGTGGTTCGAAGGGCCGCCGGGGACCATGAACAGAAGTGTCTCTGCCTTCAAATATGCTTTCTCTAGCAATAATAGTGGTCGCGACTTCTTCCAATGTGGGGAGGGTCTTCACTGGCTTGGGGGAAGGTGGAGACTGCTGCAACACAGGAGCGCGCTTCGAGATAGAAACACTGCGAAGCTGGTGCTCCGACCTGTGTCTCGACAGCGCATGTTGTGGAACAGCCGGGCTGGCACATGCCCTCTGCATAACGTTGCGATAATGGTAGTCACCTTGGCCACCTAGAGTGCGCAATGAATCTGCGCGAGCACAGCCAGGAGAGCAAAAGCAGAAATCATGATCTTCCACCGTCGGTTTGCCGCAAAAACATTCTTGGACACCGATATGGACCGATGCAAAAGCGTTGGTGAAGATGAGAGGGTTCATTCTCGGTGATCAAGGACTAACCGTTGTCATGTACAAGCGTTTTAAAAGGGTCTTATAGCCATTGAATCCTGCATGGTTTACTGTGGTGGAACACTCATATAGTGGACTGTGGATCAGTGCAGTTGTGGTCATTCGGGAGTATTCGATGGCTGTCATTGTGTAAAGTGAATGCAAAGCGGAGCTGCAAAGAGCACAACACCCACCCAATATGGGAGATGCATTCGACACAGATGTCTGACCTCCACATGGGAGTTGTCTTTGGACTAATGAAGTTGTAGATATTCGGGAATTCCACTAGCTGCCGATGTGTAAGACTAGTCCAACTTGAAACTTGCCGAGATGTACTGGATTTGAATTCAGGATTAGATACACTTGTGATTCATCGGCAGAAACCATCACAGAAGACCCGGGCAATCAGACAGCTGTAGTTGCATGGAGTTTCTTCATATCTAAGCTGGGGCATGGCGCGAATGATTTCGTAAAAACACCAGTGGTTTAGTCTGCTGGCAGCTGGTAGAGTCAACAGCAGAAAGCTTGTCGCCAAAGTACGTATGCGAACGACCATCATCTACCGTCTGCCCAGAGCTGACCAAGAAAGATTATGTTTTCGCCCTGTGTTCCCTCCATCGTTTATCGCCACAATTATAAGTTGCAGAATTGCTTTAGACAGGACCTCTGGATCTGGGAGATGGACTGAGTCAAACAATGTCATATTAACTATACATATGAAGGAGTCCAGTCCTCGAATCTGTGCCTCGTCGCGATCCGCAAGTTGGAATACTTGTGTGGAAAGTATCAAGACTAAGCTGGTCTCCCTAGACAGATCAGCAATGAAAAAGAATGACGATAGTCGTTCCTTCTTACTATGAAACTGACTGCTATGCCAGGGTCTTGATCAATGATCTCTGTGTGTCGAGTGCTCAAAGTGGTGGAAGGTTCAGAAACCCACCAGTTGGAATCGCAGGATGGAAATATGAGATCATCCAGTTCCACGATTCCAAATGATGTGATCATTACAGTAATGGTCGAGATTGTCTTCGCGTTTTGGAGCTAGCTGGGTTTCCGCTGACAGTTGACTACTAGGAGCGGGCGAGACCATACGTAGACGTACGTAATACAGACTTACAGTAATACCGATTTATGTAAATCAAGTTTTCACACGGTTGGTGCTGCTGCAGAAACAACCATTTGAAAGTTGACTATATCATGATTCATATGGAGCGCTGTGGATAAGCCAAGTGGCCCCAAACTGGCCAGCTCGGCCTGAAATTTATTGCTTATAAGTTACCGCGGACCTTCTTGAATGTAACCACGATCATTCGCCTGACATCGTTCTTCGGTTCTTGCATATGGCATCGTACATTCCGTACTGGAGTTATAAAGATGAGGTCTGCAGCTTCTTGCAGACCATTTTTCCCCAGGTCAATATGTGGCGCTCCCTCAGGTTAGCCTCTACGCTTGGGCTTTGCGCTTCAGTGTTTGGCCAGTCAAGTACGGTGGACTCGTATATAAGTACTGAGTCCCCCATTGCCAAAGCTGGTGTACTTGCAAACATCGGCTCCAGTGGTGTTGAGTCGTCTGGAGCTTATGTGGGTTCTGAAGATACCAAGTATTTGAACTGCTGACCGAAATTCATGCAGCCCGGCGTGGTCATCGCCAGTCCTAGCACCACTGATCCAGACTACCTGTACACATGGGTCCGGGACTCTTCGCTCGTTTTCAAAATGCTCATTGATCAGTACACCTCCGGGCAAGACACCACCTTGCGTGGTCACATCAATGACTTCATTGCCGCCGAAGCAAACATACAGCAGGTCGCCAACCCAAGTGGAACTGTCTCCACTGGTGGCTTAGGCGAGCCTAAGTTCAACATCAATGAGACTGAGTTCACTGGGGC